TGGTCTGAAAATCATCATGGAATTTGAAAAATCAAATTACTAAAGGTAAAGATAGAAGAATTGCAGGAGCATGATGATTAAAATTAGAGCAATTCATCACATACATAAAAAATGAAGTGTAACAAAATTTTATTCTGGTATATAGCAGAGTTGATCAGCAGAAGGTCAATCAGAGAATTGGACTGCAGCAAGAGAGTGCACTTCACATGGCTGTACTGTGTATAAGGCCTTCACATTGCAAAGAGATTTCACAGGACACATTCAAACATATTTTTGGTTTTGTTGTAGGAGGATAGACTTAGGTTAACCATTAGAATTTTTTTTTAACAGTTACCTGTGATTCTGTTTGATGAAGTTTTAATTGCACAAGACTGTACTTATTTTTCCACTGGGATTCTTGCTGAATCATTCAGTAAGAGTTCACAGGCAGAAACTGCTCTAAGGATGAATTGGCTGTGTGCCTTATAGGAAGCGTATGACTTTTGAATATTGTTTCATTGGCAGCAGAAGATGGGCAGTATAGAGTCCATGAAGCAGGAAGAATTGGGGAATAAATCAATAAAAGAGTCTTCTATTCCTACATGTGCGGAAATTCAACCAAATATTTAGACTGATGTCTTTCTCAAGTCTTGACCTCTGGTCTCAGCAAAGAGTTTCAGTTTTCAGGGACAGAAGTCAATAGAAAGTCAGGAGCCCTGGTGGGATTTAGGAGTTTCATCATCTATTTGGATATGCTTCAACTGCCTCAGTACTGCTTCTATTAAAATTAATCATTAACATCTATTGATTCCAATGAGGTAAGAGCTACTTCAGTGTTCTTACATGATTGTGAGCAAGTCACAGAAAATGAACTTTTCTACTGGCCTGAGTAATTTTTGGTTAGTTCTCTTTTTTTGGCAGTTCTCTTCTGGAAACAGTTAGTGGAAATGCCACAGCAGAGTACCCTGACCCAGGCTGAGCACTGAGAAATCATGTGATGTTTGACTTCAGTCTTTATCATCTGTCATATGGAATTTTTCAGTATCACTTCTCAGATGATTGAAACCTGCACTTAAGGACATTACAAAAGTGGATTATTTCTTATGATCTAAATTTTAAGTGGGGCAAAAGGTATAGTAGTTGCACATTGAATGGTATCAAGGGAGATAAATACTGCCTATCCAGCAGTTCTATAATCACCATTCATCCTCACAAATGTTTTATTAAACTTGCCCTCTCTTGGCAATTTCAATTAGGTTTTGGTGCTGTGGTCCCCACTATTGACTTTGAGCTGATGCAAAAGAGCACATTGTGTTTTTCATGTACTTTCCTGGGCAAATCTCCTTGTGTCTTCTTCTAATGCCTCTATAAATCTTTCTCCTGTTTTTCCAGTTTTTGTGTTTGAGACATCATTACCATGAATTTAAGGTACCACAATTAATCCTCCTTCAGCAGGAGACTGTGGGCTTATTTCATATCCATTCATTTCAGTCTTGAGCTGCAATTTTCCCATTGTTTTTCTTGCAGCTTACTCAGCGTGGGCAGGTAGTCCAAAAGAGAAGGGATGAAATTGTCTGCAGCTTTGGTAAATAAAGGTCCCAGTCATGAAAACTGACCATATAGTACAGGTAGTATTCTCCATAGTATGTAATTTATTACCATCAGCATTTTTGATTTCAGGAGTAAATGACTATGGGCTGCTAGAATTGACGTTTCCTCATCCAGTGTTTCTTTTCCTTTAGAAATCCCAGAGCTCCCATTTGCAGGAGGCCATGGGAGTGTGGCACTTGGTGGGATGGTGTTCCCTGATTGCCAGCAGTGGTCAGTACCAGTAGCTCCTGTTTGCAGCAGGAAAGGCAGTCATAGGACCACCCACATCCCAAGGGTAACCCTGTTCAACTCCTGGTAGTAAAGGCTGGTTTTTGCTCAGACTCAAGGGCTGACACATTCTATAAAGCTCTTGGAGATCTTTATTGTTGCTTGCTTTGCTTTTACAGAGCTTGCTAATAAAACCAGTTATTCTTCTCACTCTAAACATGTTTTCAACCCACTGAGTCCATGGTGTATTATATCTCCCAGAAATACTATATCTGGTTTTGTACACAGTTTAGGGTTTTTAAGGTGTATTCATCCATTTTTTTTATAGGCCTCTTCTCTTCTCTTCTCTTCTCTTCTCTTCTCTTCTCTTCTCTTCTCTTCTCTTCTCTTCTCTTCTCTTCTCTTCTCTTCTCTTCTCTTCTCTTCTCTTCTCTTCTCTTCTCTTCTCATTGATACTAAGTTTTGTGCTCTGTGTGGGTTTTTTCTTCTCATTCTTAAAGGCTGTGTTGGATGCTGTGATTATTGACAAATTATACTGTTACCTGTTTTGGCTGAAAGTTATATATTGGAATTTGGTCATTAAGGAAATATACTTACATGTTAGTGAGAAGACTTTTGAAAACACAGTGGGTGTGAATAGGTTCTTAACTGAGAACTTAGTCCTGAAGTAAAATAGACATCTCAGTTTTTAATGGATTAAGACGATTTCCATTCTCTTCACTAAATAGAGCAAGAGCTCTATGACAGAGATAAAACTCAGGTTAGAAAAGGATGTGAAGTAACTTGAGTAAGGTAAAGACTTCAAGGATGCATGCCACTCCTTCAGTTGTACTTTGTAAATAATCTGTAGTATTTTAAGGATTCACCTGAAAAATGGGAAAGTTTTGCTTTTCACATTATTCAAAGTATGAGTTTGAATAATGTTGACCATTGCAGTGCTGAAATGTAGTGGTGACACCATGAAATCTGAGCAAAGTGTTTGTAGCATACTTACAGTGTTAAATGAGTTTGCCAGAAAAACATATGGGGCTGTGCTGTGGTTGGGTGGGGGAGAGGTGGTGGAAGGGAAAGCAATCAGGCCAGAGCCATTGCCTACTGCCAGATAAGCAGAAACACTCCTTGTGCTTTCCATGACTTCTGTAAACTGAGTCCTGAAAAGTGGGGGAAAGAATGGGACAGGACAGTAGGTAAGTGCTGTTCTCCATGCCGAGCCCTTGCACATGCTCCCTTGGCAGTGCAGAGCTCTTACCCACCCTGGCAGCCCTGGGAGATGTCAGGAGTGTGTCTCACAGTGTGCACACCCCTGCCTCCTGGTCCCAGAGAACTGCACCTTGTTTGTTGGAAACTGCTGGAGGATCTTCCCATCCTCACCTGTGACACCTCTGGATGGGGATCAGACTCTTCTGAGTGCCCAGGAAGAGATGGTGCTCTCTCAGTTTTGCTCACACAAGGTAAACAGCCTGGCCCTGACTGCAGAGAAACTGAGGCTATGGCAGGTTATTAGAAAAAGCCACAAATAGATAAGGATGAAATTAGAATCAGGGCTATAAATCAGTAGGTTACTCTTTGACTGAGGGGTGTGCTGCCAGTGGGAAGAGCAGCAGATGCCATGAGAGAAAGGGACATTCCTGCAGCAGAGGGGGTTTGCAATAGAACCTGTTCTGAGACATACTGGGAAACTGCTTCATTTAGCCAAAACAAAACTTTCAGGATCAGGGGAGAGATGAAAATATATCTGCAAGATGATTTCCAAGCTGAGAAAATATATTTTCAGCTGCCACATGGTGGTATTCTCTTGGGTTCCTAGTTTTATGTTGATGTATTGCATTAGTAATTGTTTATTAATGATATGGAAATTAGCATGCAAAAATTTAAATTGCCATTGTCAGAACTGAGGTTGACAGTATTTCTCAGTATGAAATAGATAACAAATATTATTTAATGAAGAAGCAAAGGCAATTCAAGAAATCAATATTTAATTTGCTTTGTAAAACTGTACCCATACTATCATAGAGACTTGGTGTGCTCTGCGCTTACATGTTTTGAAATGCATATATTTCTAATGGTCTTTTTTAAAGGAATAAAATACCAGAATTAAACCGTTTGCATAATATTTAGTATGTTTAAATTATTTGTTCTTTGTAGAGAGACTATTACTGGTAGCTATTCAGCTGCTTCTATTATGGTCTGGATTTTTGAATCCATGCAGTGGATCATTAATCCAGTTTAACTTTTTGCAAAAACTGAGAGATTACTCTTTGTAACATTAATGATGTTTGGATGGATTTTGTAGCTCTGTAGTTTGCTTAATTTTTCTGAATTTCCTCCATTAACAAAAGAAGATTGTCAAGTGATGAAGAGAAGATTATGCAGGAGCAGCAAAAAAAAAAAATCTTTACATTGCCCTGGGTTATATGGTTAGATATTTAGATAGTGTCTAGTTACAGAGGCAGTAATAGGCCCAAATACTTTATTTGTATACTGACTGAATTTTGATCAAGACACAAGAATTTTCATTTACAGCTATTGTGTTGTTCTGTTTTTGATTTTAGTAACTTTGATTTACAATGAAAAATCAATCCTATCAACTCCAGTGTTTAGGTAACAAGGGGGAATGGAAAATCTACATGGAAGAATAACAGAGATACAGTTGCTGCTTCTGGTGCTGAGCTGGCTCACATCTTGACTGAGCCCTTTGGAGCCTTTGGGTTTGGAAGATGTGCCTCAGTCAATAAATGCTGGTCCTGAGCTGAGCAGTGTGAAAACCCCCAGTCAGTGCATGGCGAGAACGTGGGTATCTGTCATCCAGGACATTCAGCATGGAAAGTGCAGAACCACCAGGAGTGTCTGTGACACTGAAAGATGCTGCTCATTTCATTTTGCACACAAAATTGAAAGCCTTGGGCAGCTGCAGACATGGAATGAGTCCTCCATGGTTATCACTGCTTTATCACACTTGCTTGGCTGCAAAGAATGAAAGGATGGAAAGTGGTAGTAATTCCTCGTTTGAAAGCACATTACAGGACAGATGAGTTCTCTTTCCCTTCTTCTTCAAGAGACAGCCTTTTTCAAAGCATTCCTGTTATTATTGCACTCTGCATAGTCTGATATGTATCACTGTTTAGCAGCAAAAAAACACTGATATTTTGATGTAGCAAAACCATGTTGTGTTCATTTCTTTTTGTTCTTTCATTACATTACAGGTACAGTAAGAATTGAAATGTTCAGGAACATGCAAAATGCAGAAATCATAAGGAAAATGACAGAAGAATTTGATGAGGTAGAGTATACAAATAGTTGTTTGAAGCATTATGAAATATATTACTATATACTTCTGGTTTAAATTAAAAATGCAGTGGACCAGTGGAAAAAATAATGTCTCAGTATGGGAAACCACACTGACAAGCAAAGCAGCAACTTCAGCTGTCGGATGCAGAGTAACAGGGCAGAGAGAGGTTTATCAGAGTAGGCAGGAAGAGGAACTGGAGAGCTCTCATCCCACTGAGAGTGCTGCTGGCACTCTGGGTGCTGAACTTCAGCTCTTGGGAGTGTCATCATTCAGCAAAGAGCTCCAGATTCTTGACACATCAGATTCATGAGACAGGATTACAGCATTCTGCTCTATTTTTTCTGTGCAAATTAATGTTTTATGCATTTTAAATGCCAGTTTAAACCAAAGAGGAACTTGACATGAAAATTATCATTTTGGAACAGTGATACAGAAAGAAATACTCTCAGAAGATCTGAGCATTTTCTTTGAAACAAGTACATTACAACTCACACTGGGTATCTTCTGTCAAAATAAACGTGTTCCTAATGTGGATGCTTTTTAGCTTTGAGATTTTTGAACTGTGTTTTCTTTGATTTTTGATGTATAAAAAGCTGAATATTCTGAGCACTCATTTTGTTTAGTGAGGAAAACTAAAGCTGGAGCAGGAATTTCTGTAGGACAGCAGTGTCTCTGACCATTTCTAAATGAAATGCCAGTGCTGTTATTCAGAAAGTTAAGCAGGAAAACAATAAATACAAGAAATGCTCTTCTTCAGGATGTACTTATACACAATTTCCTTCTTTGCCATGGCCTTGAACAACTAAATGTCTCAGTAAATGCCTGACTACAGCCATAGGGGTGCTTCTTTTGCTGCATGATTGTCCCATAGTTGATGAAGAAAGTATTTTTCAAAAGAATCTTTTTTTAAACTGTCCAAGTTTTTTCTCATGGGAGGAAAAAAAACTTCTATGAATCCAATTGAAAGCAACATCTCTGAAAGAGTTACAGTTTCTAGTACATAGTCTTTCTCCATTACTAAAACTTTTCAGAACTTTTATAGTCCTAAAAAAAAGTTTCAGTTCTAGTTTTTGCCTTAACGTTTGAATGGATTTGTGAGAGAGTTTGTGGGGCTTAGTACAAAAGCATAAAACCATTAGTCCTAGGCTGCAACCCAATTAATATTTTGAAATCTGTTGGCATTTCATCTGTAATAGCTCCCCCAGTACCTCAGAAATCCCAACTTGTCCCATGGTTCCATGAGTCCTGCAGGAATCAGCTGGCTGTTGGCCTGAATTTTACATTTATGACTGGGATTGAAGTATTGATTTTCCTCCACATGAGTAGAGAAATGCTTGTGCAGGATTTAAATAATGGAAATAACTTTGTTCACAAAGTTCACTTCGGGACAGGGAATTCCATGGACATCCATTGGCTGCACTGTTTGGCTGCTTGGCTTAGGAGTACAGGTGTTTTGTAGATGAATTCTGTCGTAATTCTTGTGCTAGAGTTGTCAGGTGAACAAAGACTTGGTTTACATGTAATTTTCTAAGCACTGGGCCATCAAGTATTGTGACAGTGTCACTAACACATCATGTTTTTATTAGTATTCAAGAATAAAAGATCCATGGTGACTTTATTGTAAGTTTATTCTTCCCATTTCAGCCAGATGAGGTGTTCATGGGACAGTCTCCATAGACTTTTCAAAGGTGTTGTCTGGTATGTACTTGTAGGTTAAAAATTCACCATACAGAGACGAGTAGTTACACACAGCACTAGAGATTATGAGGATCTGTTCCAAAAGACTGCATTTACACACACCTTGAGAAAGCATATATTATGTACCAAAGTTCACATGTAAAGATCCATCAGGTTATTTTGGTGAGGTTGAAATGGATGTGATTTGCTGCAATGTGATGGCTAAAGGGTTTTCTCTATGGGGATGTTGTTAATGAAGTTTGGGTTCAAGGTGTTTGATTGCAGCTCCTCTGTGCTGATGTTGCTGTCTTTGTGTGTTTCAGTCTGGGTCATAAGTCCTGAGGAAGAAAGTTTGTTCCCCACAAAACCACAGAATAAATGTGTACAAATGGATATAACAGACTTCTTATCCTGGCTGAGAGATTCAGGATGGAGCATTACTACCTTGATGTTTTGGATACTCTGGAACTGGCTTACAAACCAATCTTATAATTGTACACTTACAATCCTGGTCAGGGAGATTTATACTGAGGCTTTTTCACTGAGGGGGAAAAAGCATTTTCTGATTGTGAGGGGACAGTCTGCCTGTAATGCAGTATACATAGTGGATGTAGTAAGAGCAGACCTGGAGAGGCATTAGATGAACATGCCTAGTCCAATCTTGTAATAATTTTTTGAAGATGAAGTGTATGAATCTGTGGTAAAATTTCCATTACTGCCATCAGAAGGCACTAGAAAAAGGCTACATTTACAAGATAAAACAGGGCAGTGTTTGCTTTCTGATAAGGAAGCTAATTTTGAGTAAACCATACTCAACTGTAAGCTTCAGCAAAGCAAAGTTTAGGGGGAGGAGCAGCCAGCTGATTAGAATATTAATCTAGAGTTGAAATGGGGTGGAGAATGACACAAACTGTCAATCACACAAGCCTTTCTTTAGGTTTTGACCTTAAATACTTTGAAATATTTCTGTCTCATCCTTTGCTCCCACTTCCTAACCGAGGATACAAGGAAAAGAACTGAATCTTGATACTTATTTTGGACTATACAGAGCCAGTACTTCAGGTGGAAAACAGTTACAATGATACCTTTACAAAAGTGGTGTCATGCCAATGGGCCCCCCTGTTTATTGAAGAATAATGTGTTGTTTTTATTTGTTATTCTCCCTTGGTTGAAGGAACCAAGATGATGTTTCATTTAGAACCCTAGATCACAATGGCTGCACTAACATTAACATAAATTAAATGGGGGAGACTTTTAATACTTGATCTTTTCCTTCTGTTGTTCTGCAGGACAGTGGTGATTATCCCCTGACCATGCCTGGGCCTCAGTGGAAGAAGTTCCGCTCCAACTTCTGCGAGTTCATCGGGGTGCTGATCCGGCAGTGCCAGTACAGCATCATCTACGACGAGTACATGATGGACACGGTGATCTCGCTGCTCACCGGCCTCTCCGACTCGCAGGTCCGGGCCTTCCGGCACACCAGCACACTGGCTGGTGAGTGAGCTGCCACAGGAGGGTTCTGTCACAGAACTTGCTGCTGCTTGTCCACTGCGAGAAGTCCTTGTAATTTGGATTGAGGTGGACCCTGACCAGCATTAAAACTGTGGAAAGCTTCATCAAATCCAAGTACCACATATGGTACAACTATGCTTAAAATACTCCTTTTTTATTTGGAAAGTAGTGTGCTGAGGCACTTAGGGATTCCTGTCATCCCCAGGTCCTGCAGTGAATCCTGAGAATCAAAAGTGGAATGCTTATGTCTTGTATTTTATTATTAACTGTTCACTTGTTGTACAAAATGTTGGAGTAATTTTATATTTTAGAGTATAAATTTATTCTAAAGAAGTATCAGGAGAATTGTATTATCAAAGAGCTTCCATTCACCAGAAAAAATAATCTGTGCCTTAACTCTGGAGAAGCATAAGGTTTGGGATTACTGGGGCATGGTAGTAGGGTTCACTGTCTTTGCCTGCAGCCACACCACCTTTCAGTGCAGCTGTCTCACCTAAGGAAAGCCCTGTGTGTATCATTAGATAGAAATGGGCTTTGCTTATGTATTTCATCACACCTATATGAGATGTCTTCTCTAAGAGGGATGAATTGCTCTCTACAAAGAATATTTTTCTCGATTACAAAGCACTATTAGGGTGGCTGGCTTGGGTGTGGGTGTCTACAGCTAGTCATGTCAGGTGATAAGAAATTAATCTTATTGCAAAGTTCATAGATCATGCCAGATATTTGAAACTCTTACAGCAGACATTTGTCATGATCTGAATGTTTCTATGGCCAGTATTTATCACTATTTAGTCTTTCTACAATCAGCTTCATACACATATTTTCAGTTTCAAGTGTACCAACACCCAGTGTTAAACAAATACAATCAGAATTTATTTAAAATTTCATTTCTTCTTACGAATCAAATTAAGAGCAGATTTCCAATGATACTGAAAAAACAAATCCAGTTTTGAGTGAATTTTGATTTTAAAACTAAAACCCAAAGCCTTCAACTCACAGTGACTAAGCTCCTTTGGGAACACATGCCCTTGTGTTTTTCACCATACTTAGCAATGGGATGGTAAAACTGTGAATTATACAGGCTTAAGCTTCCAGGTTTGGAGTTTCCTCTTCAAATTCAGTATTCCAAGGTAAGCACAGTTTGAGCCTAGATAACCTGCTGGAAACCCATGCCTGTTATTTAAACTATATTCCCTTCCATGCTGTCTGCATTTCTGGGTGGTTTTGATTTGCAGTTTGCTCAGACTGTGGTTGATTGGTTCATAGGGAAGAATTTATGGAGTGAGGTCTTTACTCTGGTCCCTGGGATTGTTTGGTCCATCCCTGCATGGGCTGGTGCACAGATGCCCATCATGGATGGGAGCTGCCAAAGATCTCGGCATTTACCAGTGACAATACATGCCATTTATTTATTTACTTGCTTGTTGTAACAAGCTTGAGGCTTTGCTTTGATTCGACAAATTTCCTTCCAAATGTTTTTAGCACATTTAATTGTTTTGGAGTCCCAAAGATCAGAGCTCAACATGATGCCATGGAGCTCAGTCTTGATAAAGTTTTTGAAAATCTATTTGTAGCCTGGCATTTCTTCTTGAAGTAGTGTTTGTAGGTCCTTGTTTTCTTCTATGCTAGTCAGTTGGAAGGAGAGATGATTCACTGTAGGAAGAAGTACTTGTAGGCTACCAGTTTTGAGCCATAGCAGTGTAAGTCAATCCAAGTAGCCTCACTTCTCCATTTGTGTGGTTGCTTTTCTACCTTGAAGCAATGCTGTATATTTAGAGTAGCATGCAGAGAGGATGTGGTAGTTTATTGCATTATTTTGCTGGTTTTTCAATATTGTAAAATGTGTTTTACTATGTAACAACTCAGAACTTGGGAAAAACTCTCATTAATGTTTTTTTGTAAAAATAAATGTTAGTACTGAAAAGCAGCCACAAACAATATCATATCCAGCATGTGTGAAAAAAAAATTGCATTTTTATATGGCTGTACAGCTGACTTTAGAGCAGTGTCAGACCTGGATTCAGAGATGCTGTGCTGAGGTCCCTTGTGAACTGAGCTGTCCTCAGCAGCCACTGGTTAAGGTCACCCTTAGTATGGAGCCATCTCTGCTGGTACTCTTCTTATGTGCAGAAATGGCTCCAGCAGCTGCCTTCATGGTGCCTTGATGCTGCAGGCTCACATGCTGGCTCCCTGGTGCACTCAGAGCTTGTCTAGAGAAGACAGCAAGGAGCACTGCCTGCAGCTCAGTGTGGGGTAGACTCAGCTTTCTGACCATGGGCCAATGACCTGGGCATTGCCTGGGTGGAAGTGCCTTTCAAGATGGCTCTGCCAGGGTCGAGAGGCTTTTTGCTGTGAGTATGGATCTGCTGAGGAAATATTTTCTGAGCTCTTGACTACAGGTAAAGAGTCATAATCTGTCTTATGCCTTTGCAGCTATGAAGCTTATGACTGCTCTTGTGAATGTTGCCTTAAACCTGAGCATTCATCAGGACAATACACAGAGGCAGTATGAAGCTGAGAGAAACAAAATGATTGGCAAAAGAGCTAATGAAAGATTGGAGCTGCTGCTTCAGAAAAGAAAAGAGGCAAGTGAAAAGACAATTTTTTTTTTTCCTGGTTCGTGTCCAACATTCCCTCCAACAGAAAGCCCAGGGCGGTTTGTGAGTTGAGTACCAGAGTGAGAAAGAGCTTAGTTCTGCAGTGGTGATTTGTGTGGTCTCAGGCACGCTACTTAACTCCTGTATTGCCACATTCAGTTGAGTTTGTGGAGCTATTCTGTACACAAGGAGAACTCTGTTCTCAGGCTTCTATGTATGACCAGGAAGGAAGAGTCTCAAACTGTAAGCAGTCACTGTTCTGAAGATGCAGAAAGATTCTGGCAAGAGGATCCTCAGCTCCCTCCCTGCACTGCCCAGTTTTCCCCTTGATCACTGCAGTTATTCCACAATGTCTCATTAGTACTTCTTTTTTAGCTGCTTGCAGGAAACACAGGAGTTGAGGCTATAGCACCTGTTCTCAGGGAGAAGGAGCTAGGGAAACATTAAAGTCGCCTTTAGTAAGTACCAGTCTTGCATTAGGTGAGAAAAAACATTAGAAGGCTTCTGTAATCATCTCTAAATAAAGTATTATATCACAGGGAATTTCAGTTTTAGAGATGTACTTAAATTTAAAGATGACAAGTAGAAAATTAATACGCATACACCCAAACAACCATAATGTGTAAAGATGCCAAGTAAAACTCATAAGAGAAATTGAAAAATCAAAGTTTGTATGGCTTAGACTTAAATGTATGATTTTTAATATATTAGTTTTGAATTTTCTCCACCACTGTTTTACTCTGTGGCAATTAAGGACGTCTGGGTGCTTTGCCTGTGTGCACCCTGAATTCCTTTAGGTGTAACTTTGACTCAGAATTGTTTGACTTTGTAGTCTTTGGGGATAATCACAATACATCTTTTTATTTTACCCTTATGACCTGTACCACAACTTTATTTGGTTTTCCTAATTCTTGAAAAGCATGCATAAGGTACAACACAAGAACAATCCCTCCTGCCCAAACTGCGAGAGAAACATTTTTAATTAAATATTAAATTGAATGTGTGTTCCAGAGCATTTTGATAAGCAAAATAGGTGGAACAGAGTTTACAGTCCACATTTGTTGATTGTTGCTCTGAATTTGCAGAGGACTAATTGCACTGATTACCTTGGGCTGGTGGCTTTGTGGCTAGGGACTCCTCTGTGCCCATTCCCCCAGCCATTCTTTCGGAGCTGCAGGACATCCTCTCTCTGGGGAGCTGTAACAAGGATGCTCAGGCTGCACGGGGCTTGGGAGCCTTGACAGCAGAAGGATCATTTCATAGTCCTTGCCTTTGGCTCCGTGTGTTCAGGGGCTTTCATCTCACTGCTCATGACAGCTGAGCAAAGCATTGCCTGGGAATAGCCAGATTGAGTATGTCCATGGGGTCAGCACCCCAGGGGCACCTGGGCAGAAGAGATCTATCAGGATTAGATGGCATTATGCTCTGTGTAAGAATTCCTGACATAATACTGTATATTCCCAGTGTTTAAATACTCTGAATTGACAGTGGCATTCTGTGCTAGCACTTCCTCAGTTGATTCTTTGATAAGGTGCCATCCTAACAACCCCTCCTGAGCACACACACATGCATGTGTGTCTTCATAAGCTGATAGAGGAACAGTTCACAACTGAGTGTGGCGAGTTAGTCTGAAGCAGAGGAGATGGAGCGCTTCCTGAAGTATTTCATTCTCATGCCATCATCTACAGGCCTGGTGGGAGAGCCATGCATGGAGCTCTGTCTTATCAACAAGATTTTCAGCTCAAGTTGATGGTTTATGTAGCAATTTGCCACAAAGCAGAGAAAGTTGTCTTTTTAGCATCTGCCAGTAATAATTCAAATTTTGTGCTTCCAAACCTGCTTGCATGTTTCCCTCATTTTTTTTACTTCTGTTTAAGAGGGGGGTGTTAAATAATTTTTGCATTGTTAAGAGCAGGAGTCCTGAGACACAGATGCTCTCTCAAGATGCTTGAAGTTAAGCACTCAGATTCAAGTGCATGGGTTAAAAATCTTGAAAGTGTAGAAAGCAGTTAGGGTTTCAGAGAAAATTAATTACTGAATCCAAAATACATTTGAAAATTGTATCCTTTCAAAGTTAGTACACAGAGGTAAAAGGGATCTCAGATGTACCTACTGAATTTTTGTTTCTGCTTCCACACCAGCTGTGCCCCAGCACTTGGACACCTCTACCAGATGATAATTCACTATGTTTATAGAGAACTGTAAATTCTGTGCAGAAGAAGAGGGAGGAAGCCTGTCCCTTCGCCTGTGCTGCTTGGGCCTCTACCTTGCTACTTCACTTCATACTCAGAGAGATGTCAAAGTACACTTTTTTCAGAATCCCAACTTTCTCATGGCTCAGAAAGTCCATCAATCTCCTACCAGTCTTCTCTGGTGTTGTTTTATACCAGGAAATCATTCCCTGAGTTTTGTGTGAGTTTCCGCTTCCAGGGCCCTGGCAGATTTTCAGAAAGCCTCATGAGACTTCTTGATTTGTTCCTGTCCTCATTTTACTGCACAACCTGTGCTAGGCTGTCTCTACCTACATGTTGCTGTAGATGTTTCCCTGTCTGTAGCCTGTGGAGTCATCCAGCTGAGGAGTGATTAGGAACTCACAGTCCCCTTTGGGGTTATGAATTCTCAAACAAGCATTTAGTCTGTAAATATTTGGGTTGAGCTGATGCTGCAAATAGTGCTTTTCCCAGAGGCCATGTCTAAATATACTTGGTTCATGTATGCAGAGCTGGTGTGGACCCAGTTCTTCCCTTTGTACATAATCCCTTTTACTGTGAAATTAGTTTCTTTGGCAGGCTTTTGACTATTTAGTCAAGAGCCCTCAATGCTTTGGTTTCTTCCACATGCAAAATGGAGACAGCACCCCCTTAAACTTTAGTGAACTGGGAGACTTTACTCCCTGAGTTCTGAAGCTACTTGAGGTAAAAGATGAAATAGAAATATTTGGCTGAAAAACAGAAGCCCTCAGGTGAAAGCGTTTCAGAGCTCATGCCATGCAGGAGGTCAAACCAGCTGATCACAATTTTGCCTCTGGCTTTAAAACCTTTTATTTGTTAAATATATACATCCATAATTATACAGGTTTAATTATTTTGTGCATGTATCATAAAATAATTTAAATTAGTAAGGCTTTGTTGTGGTTTTCCTACTGTGAGAATGTGGGCAAATTTACATTCCCACATTGTGGTGCCATGCTTAGGCTGTAATGAACACCTTGATGGAAGAATAGTGGCTGCTCCAAAAGCTGATTGGGTAAAATTGGTGTCATCTTTTAACATCTATTAACAAAGCTGCATTTAGGTGTAATTAAGTTATACTTAGTTTAGTACAAGATCTGACAGTATGAGAATACTGTAATTAATTCCAAGTTGTGTTAACATATCAATTGACACAAGGTATACTTCCCATAGTACTTGTAAAACCTGCTCATATTACCCAGGAAATGAAAATATTTTTAAGAGAATGCTCTTATTTATAAAAGCATGCTCATAGCACCTTTTCATTTGGAACTGGGTTTGGTTTATTGCAGTCTAAGGCCTGGATGTCAGGTGTGCTCCAGTCCTGGAAATCTTCTGAAACCCAGTTATTGTGGATGCTGAAGTTTAAGGGACTGACAGTCTTTTATTTAAGACTGAGAAGATATTCAACTCTTTTCTTTAAATAGAACATTATTTTTTTCAAAACTAATCTGTAACCAGCTTTGTTTCTGCAGCTGTCATTCACTCAGCTCTGTGTTTCCCTGTGAACAGAGCACTGCTGAAATTACTGCACACATTGTCTCTACTTGTCTCATTTTCAGTAGCAAAAGTTGATGATCACTTTAAAGAACTAATTTGAGAGACTAAATTGATGTTTGTAGTGAATGTTAATTTTCTTCCATGAAGACATTGAATATATAAATGTAAATATTTGTATGTATATGTACACAATATAGGCGTGTGCTAGAAAAGCAGAAACGGTGAATTTACTTGGGTGCTCTTCAAAGTTTTCCCAGTAGGGAATTGCAGAATACCAAATTATAATAAGCAATGATCTTTTATTTATTTTGTGTTTTGTTTTTCACAGCTACAAGAGAACCAAGATGAAATCGAAAATATGATGAACTCTATTTTTAAGGGTATATTTGTTCATAGATACCGGTAAGAAAATGCATGTTCCAGTAGGCTCTGCTAACGAAGTGTGGTCATAAGGAAAGTCAAGGGCAGCTTCTGTCTTGATTTTCTTCTGATGTAATATTCTAGATGCTGCAAGGTCACTGTCAAAAACACTTGAAATTATGGAAGAATATACAAATTGTAACCTCTATTAATTACTCAATAGAACCATCCACACCATTTTATTTTAATTCAGTAGACAGCTTGAAAGGGTTGTAGGAGATACGGGCTTTGAATCTTTGTATTTTGAAAAGAAAAGTTATCCATGTTGGGAGCTCAAAAATGACGTAAGAATAATCCAATAATTACTGTGTATCATAGGATACCAGTTGTCCTACAAGCCTGCATTTCCTTTTGTATGTCTTGGGTGTAAATAGCAAATTTGGAATATGGTTTACCAGAGAGCAGAAGTCTTTTAAATAGATTTAGGGTTGTTGTGTGATGCAAGATGCCTCAGAGCATCTGCATCACCTTGGTGCAACCAGCTCTTTAAATGTTAATTGACTTGTTGAAATCAAAAGATAAAATTCAAGGGTACTAAACCATGCAATTAACATTTAAGATTTCAGTTCTGCTTTAAAGGTTTATAATTTATGGAATCTTTTAGGAAAATGGCAGGAAAAAAGGGTGTATGAGAAGAGAGTTAGAAGGTGAAGAGGAAGCCATAGTTCAGTTGGACAGAGGGATGGTTGTAATTTGGAGACAAGACACAGAAGCTAGGAAGGTGCTCGTGTTGACAAATGTGTGAGTATGAGCAGCACAGTGGGGTTGGACAGCATCTCCTCAGTACCTGAGCATGGAAAGAAAGTTCATGGTTTATGGTCAGGAAGCCTTGAGCTTCTTGGCAGCAGGAGGATGGGTGTGCAGAGCCAGCAGGTAAATGAGTGTGCTAGATCAGCATAGCACTCACATCATTTTGTTAGGAGAGCAGCTTTCGTGGCATAGATAAAAAAGGCTGAAGAAATTAAATTCTAAGAATGTTTCCTTTTTTATCCCCTCAGAACTTAGTGTATTATATTGAACAAATGTTGCTTTAAAATATTCTCTTAGTAGTTCATGCTCTTATGTGGGGTTGGAAAAAGATTCAGCCTTTGGTAGTCTGCATTCTGATGCTTTTGCTTTTTCTTCTGAAATCATCTTTTTGTAAAAAAAATTCTTTTCATGCCTCCTGCCACCACTAGTGAAGACCTGATTTTGATGATGTTGCTGTAAAAGAAGAGACGCCAAATAAATAAAATCCATCCATGCTCTTGTAAAAGGTGTCCATAGTGGCCCTGTTAGACCAGTGGGGAATTGACTGAAATCAGACAGGTGGTGGCACCACTTGTGCCTCTATTCAGAGGGGTCAGGAGGAACCTGTTCCCACCCTGCCCCCAGAGCCACCTGTGTGAGCACTAGCCATCCCTGACCTTTAAGCCCCCAAGAGTCTCTTACAACATACACCAAACTACGAGTAATGGTACACGACAGAGAGCACAGAGTTGCACTCACAGCTGGACGAGAAAATGAAGGGGGAAAGTGTCTGTGTGAGACCCAGCTAACTGACAACAAAGCCCAGGGGGATCAGATAAAAAGGATTTTGAACTATTATCTGCTTTCATAACTTCTTAATTTCCTGAACCTTTCTTCTCTCAAATAGCTGTAATTATTTATAAACTTCACATGATTTTAGGCTGTAGACCATGCACAAGTGGTGATGGTTTCGAAAGAATGTTATTTCAGTTATTCCCAGAGAGTAGGTCCCATCCTTCAATATGATTCAGACTCAGCCACAGTGATTCATGCTTAGTGACCTTTGTAGCTTAAATAACAAGTCCTTGACCTAAACAAAACCCCCAAAACTGTTTCACTCAGAATGTGTCTTCTGACAAGTATTGCAGTGAGGTTACATCTTCTTTCTGTAGCCTGGCTTACAATTTACTGGAAGATTTCAGTGCTCACTTCTCTCATCAAGAAAAAAAAACAAAATTGCAGAAATAGCTAAATAGTTTTCTAGGTACAATGCTAGTCTAGTGTGAACAGCAGATTTGGTCAAAACCTGAGATATTCTTAAGAAGCATGCAGGAAATGTACCCACCTCACTGCATGTTGCCATTTCTCCTTCCTCAGCCAAAATCCTTTACAGTTAGTAAATTTATAAGGTTATAAATTGGATTTGTGGGGTCCTAATTAAGGTCCAGAGATGAGAGTCATAGAAAAAAGAAGTATAAAAGACATTCTTGTCTAGTTCTCATTATAATTACATCTTCAAAAGGTTTCTAAATGGACAGGCAGCCCAAGAGATGGGCCCAGTTCTGCCCAAGTGGAAGTGGTGTGGTTCTGTGCAGCTGCTCCATTTCCTTGTCCCTTGAATGGGAGTTTGAGTTTCCATCCCACAGAAAGCTCAAGGCAGTGATTCACCCTTGGTTCTGTCCTTATTAGAAAGTTTTCCTGTAAACTAACTCTCAGCCCAACTCATTGACAGAAATACCTGTATTTTTCTGTTCATACTGGTTTGCCTGTTGAGTAATACCACTGTGTTCTGATGGTTATCTGCAGTTCTGGTTGTTTCAGAACAAGGTGTGAGAAGAAGCATCTCCAGAGGTTAAACTGGGAAAGCAGGTGCAATGACAGTAGTGAGGCTCCTTTAGGAGCTTCCAAGAAGCCTTGAAGCAGTTCCTGCTCCGCTGCTCATCCCCCAGGTCATGCCTTGGTTTGACTCAGCACTGACAGTGCTGTAGAATGTGAGCATCCAAGGCACTGCACATCAGCCAGGTTTGCTTAGAGGGCTTTCAGTTTAGTTGTGATTAACCTCATGAGTTCGTGATTAAACAGACTGAAAGAACCCGTGAGCTGGAGCTGAAGCTGGAAACCACTCCAGCAAGCCTGAGGAGCACACTGCTCTGCACCTGATGTTTCCCAAATAACCATCAGAGTCTCTGTGACTCAGGTCCTGAATACTTCTGGCCTTAATCACAATTCTTGTGTGTATTTTGGCATAAAAGGTACGCTGAAGTGGCATTTGGAGTGGCACTGGTAAAATCTGTTTCCTGACCTTACTGTGGTTTGTCCTAAGATTTATGGGCCTGCTTCGTCAAGCCAAGATTTCAAAAGGAAATGCAGAGTTTCTTATCTGAACCCCTTCTGTCAAATCTTATCAGAAGTTGCATCATGGAGGATCTCTTCACCCAGAGTAGGAACTTGGGCTGTGAATTGTGCTGCAAACATTTTCCTCTTGTAGACCTTGCTTTGCAGTTTGTGCTGAAAAACGGGTTAAATATATTTCATGTCTAAGATCCGTAGATGCCACGTTAGTTTTCACCTCTATGCTGGACTAGATTCTGTTTCTTTCTAGATGCATTTGACAAGCTTACATCACTAATTTGTAATTATGATAATTAATAATGCATTCATTATTCCAAAAACACTTCCAGTGCAGGTATATTAGTATTTAAGTTTTTGTATCATCCAGAATTAATGTGTATTTTTAAAAAGGTAAACAATTCATAATGACTCTGACCAGAAGGTAAAAGTATATAACTGTGCAAAAATTAGGAGAAAATAATTACAATTTAGTGACAAGCAATTACCACATTGATAGCAAAGGTACAAAGAGGTTTTTGCCTGTACTGTGTTTGATACAGCATTGGATGGGCATGGAGTCTGTGTTAGTGATTCCTGCAGGAACGCAAGTGATTCTGATTGGTGATAGTTACCTGGAAGGTGATGTGGGTGGGAAGTGGTGTCTCACAAGTTCCCCTGCTTCTCCAGCACCTTGAGTCTGTTTGCTGGTCTCACATGCCTTATCCATGATTCTGTCTTATTTTCAATTATACTAGAGATGTTAAATTCTTGTTATACTAAATCTCTTAATCAGCTGAATAGCTTTCTTCCTCCTTTCTTTCTTCTTTTTTTTAATTAGCAGCTTGGAGTGAGTGTCTCTAGTGCCGAGGGATCCCTGAGAAGGCTTTTGAATCAAGAAGCAGTTTTTCACTGTCTTCCTAGGGAAGCTTGAATGCATTCTTAGAGAAAACATGACTTTTCCTGCTCTTTGGCTGGCTGTGTCCTGCATGATTAAATAGTTGTTGACATTTAGGTTCTTTTCGGGATTGCCATTAAATCCTTCCAAAATCCTTTGCAGTTAGTAAATTTATAAGGTGGTGAAGTAACCTACTTGGATGTGAGGACTCAGGCTGTCATCCCCTAGGAAGAATGTCTTCCTCACTATTTTGTGTTGCTGCAGATGTGGCTCCCCATCTTTTCTTGATTTATATTTACTAGTCTTCGGGGTTTTTCCATAAGTCTTGCATTCTTCCAACTATATTTTGCTTTTAAAATAGTTTAAAAGTAACTCCATATAAGAGAATTGCTAATCTAGTTCAGTGTGAAGCAATGTACAATTAAGTACACACACAGATATATATATACACACACACACATATATATGTATATATATATCTATATGTGTGTATATATATGTGGCTATAGTCATAGTTAAAACTAAACTAAGCATAGCTAAAACTTGTCTTCATTATGGCTGCCTTTCCCATAAGGAATGCAGTTTTTAACCCTTGATTGTGATATTTAGCACATTAGTTAGTGATATTTAGTCCTTACACTTAAACCTGTTTGAGAAATCCTGGGTGGGAGCAGCTTGTTTGATGCCCTGCCCTGCTCCTAGTGCAGCTTGTCTCCATTGTGGATTGCGTCTTTCCTTGGTTCTGGGATTACAGAGCCTTCACAAAGTTGAGGCAGGCCAGATTTACTGATGCTATTGGGAAATTGTTCAAATTAATGTTTCTCATAGGCAAAGAGAGACAATGACAGTGGTTTGGTGGCATTCACACAGGTGTCCCCCTCATGTTATTGCATTAAATGCATTACATGCTGCTTATGCTTTTCTGCTGTTAGAGCAGTACAATTTCCTCCCTACAAGCTGAATTCGAATGCCAAGACTCGCCTGGAGAAGTGCCCCCAGCCCTGTGTGATGCTGGGCTTGGTTCATGGTCCCTGTGGGAGCCGTGGGTTCCAGCTCAGGCTCTGGAAGGTCAGGGGCAGGACAAAGGCACTGGATCAGCTGGGCCAGCCTGCAGGAGGGAAGTACATAGTTCCAGTATGGAGTCACCAGGGGTTTGCTGCATTGGGTTAGGACTATGAACCTGTGCAGTTTCTTGACCAGAAGAGTGAGTGCATTTTATTTATATTTTGTAAAATAGCTGACTTTCATAAAAATGCAGTTTCTCATTTTTGCAATTATTCTCTTGCTTGAAGCTTGGAATTTTTCTTTCCTTCCCATAAATTATATTTCATTTTGGGGCTCTGGTTTAGAATTAAATTGATATTTATTACTTTTCCAAAAAAGATTTTTTTAAAATAAAAATACAAAACAAGGGTCTCAATTACAAGCAAGTACAGTGTTTGTGAAGCACCAGACAGTCCCTTCTTCTGTGCAGTGACTCTTTGTGTTCTTCTTGTATTGCAGCTGAAATTTGGAACTGTGAGGCAGTGCCAGCTGGAGTGGCACAAGTGATTTCTCATGGTAACAGATGTCCCAGAGATGGAATTACTGAAGGGACAGATGGCCCCCATCTCTTTTCCCATTGTTTCATTATTAGTAAAGATGCCATGCTCCATGTCAGGCAGGCAGGAAAGTGCCACTCAGATGAAAAGCATTTCCATCCACTCTCCTTAGGTGACCTCTCCAGTTTCCTGCCACCCCTCCTCACTGAGCAGCTGCTAGGTCTGCCTGAGTTACATCTTTTCTTCTTCCATGACTTGCCACAGTCAGAATGTAGGATAAAAACAAGAAAATTGGAAGAAACCAATGCTGAAGTGCAAAATTCTCAAGGGGAAGTACGGGTGTTCATGGGGGATATGAAATGAGATCTCTTTGTATAGTAAATTCCATTGTGCTCCTCTGGCAGTTGCCTTTAGCTAAACCAACCTTGAAATGGTTCTGCACCTCAAGCTGGATACAGGGCTGCAAAGCAAATTTCAGTGATGCTGTTTCAGAAATTATTGCCCAGAGGAGATTTATAACTTGGGTTCATAATTCTCTTTGGAAAGAGAGAGGTTAAAGATGGAGTAATAGACTAAGAAGCAAACTAGGGTGAGAATTGACCTATGTAGAGGAAATGTAGGAGCATATATAAACACTGAAATGATTAGATCAGTGAGTTCAAGGATGTCAAGGAACAGAAAATCAGTGAGATGGCAGTAAGAACAGTGACAGGCCTCACACAGTGAGGTTCATGACAAGTAAAAGCAAAATATTATAGCTATGGGGATGAGAAGTATATGTGTCTAATCTGGCTAATCCTTGTTCTTTTCTTTTTCTATATCAGTGATGCTATTGCTGAGATTAGAGCTGTCTGTATTGAAGAAATTGGTGTCTGGATGAAAATGTACAGTGATGCCTTCCTGAATGATAGTTATTTAAAATATGTTGGCTGGACACTACATGACAGGGTGAGTATTGTGTATTCCCACACTCAGCAGAGTGCTCTAGAGGCAGCTGCTGCCCAGCACAGCGTCATTCTTGGCTTACAGAGAGATTGTTGTTTCCTCACCTGGTATCTTTCAATCGGGTCACTTCCAGGTATTGGCTCAAATTAGGAGGCAATACTCCCAGTCTGCTTGGTCCACGTGTTTTTCATGTGTCCAGTCTCTGATGAAGTATCTTGACAGAAATCCTTCCATGGGGCTTTTCTGTTGATTACAAGAGAAGTCTCCTCAGAGCACCCCTGAAAGCCTCTGTGTCCGAAGCAGAATGGAAAAAGGATTTCTATGTCTCTTCCACTTATATTGCCCAAAGGTTAAAGGAAAAAAGGAGATCTCTTGGCCCTCAGTAGACACCATTGGTTCCACAGCCAGTGGAGTTCTCTTCAGTTCACTTTCCCTTCCTTGAAGAATCTTTTTAGCTTTTTCTTCAGAAAACTGTTGAAACACCAGATGGAAGGAAAAGAGGTGCTTTTCTGGCTCATCACAGTTCTTAATGCTGATGGTATCCACCCAGTTCCCACAGCAAGAGGAGCCCATTCTGGGTGCTGACAGAGGACTTTGCACTTCTGCCTGGGAGATTTTATATACCAGGCAGCAATGGGACTGGCTGTGCTCCCACTCCCACCAAAACCACTGGAATCAGTTGTTTTACTCTGAATTCCCTTGCTAACACTATCCAAGGAGTACAAAGGAGACTTAGAGTGCTGTTGAAATGCTCATCAAATTCCAGCATCCCGATTCAGACTAGTCTTCTTTTCTAGGAGCACTGCTGGAAAAAAAAATTGTAAGTCTGCAAGTTCTTTCAGATGACTTGCATAACTCATAGTTAACAGCTGATTCTTTAAAAATATTACTTTTTTCACTGGAGGATCTCTCACACCTTTTGCATCCTTCAGCCAGTGCTGTCCTGTTGTGAGAGATGGAATGTAAAACATTTGGGGATAACAAATGCAATGTGTGTGCCCTGTGTCCCTGCCCTGGCAGCTAGTTGAGCTGCTGAGCCCATGCCCAGTCATTTTGAGCCCCTGAGCGCTGATTGTGAGCACGAGTTGTCAGTCATGAGGTGCCTGTGGGCTCCTTCCTGAAGACAAACAGCCACACTGCCTGCATCAACCACCTGGTGAGCCTACGTCTCTATTTTGGATTTCCTTGCTGCATTCTTTATCTTTTTGTGGAACCACTTGAAAGGGAAGCGCTAACAGACGTCTAAGTGATGGCACATTAATTCTTTCTATATGCAAATAGGAAGTAATTTAACATTGTAGGTGACTGTATGTGGGTTTTGGTTTTTAGCTAAATTGCAAATTGGCTTTGGTCATTTGCATAAAATTTTAAATTACATTAAACAAATGACAGTATTATGTTTTTTAATATTCATGTGCATTTGGTTAAAGTATTCTGACAGCTAATCTCAGTGTTTTTTATTTAGCAAGGTGAAGTGAGGTTGAAGTGTTTGAAAGCTCTGCAGAGTCTGTATACCAACAGAGAGTTGTTTCCCAAACTGGAGCTGTTCACTAATAGATTCAAGGTAAGAGGAAATACAGTTTTTGGAAGGATGGCAAAAGTAACAGTGTCATTATCCTGTTGTGGTCTTTGAGTCACATCTATTAAGAATAAAGTCATTAGTTTTTGAGGAAGCTTGTAACTGCACTACTAAAACTGGGTTACTGAATGCTGAAATTAAGCCAAGTCCATTTCACAGGGTTTATCTTGGAAGATTTGTCAGACCTAACCAGGATGATTATTTGTCTGTATGTATTATTTATAGCTTCTATATTGTCCTTATTCAATCTGCCTCTACTTACTTAATTTTCGATTTATTGAATTAAAAGGATGTACACAATTTAAATTACACAGTTTAAAATATAGCTGAAAGTAGCAGCCTGTAATGAAGGGTTGTTTGTTACACAGCTTTTTTAGCTCAATATGTGCTTGTGTTTGGAGGGAGAGTCACTTGGATGTGCATCACAGTCCTCTACACAGTGAACTGGCCTTGCTGCAGAACAGGAGTTCACATTGTGCTTCCACACCCCTTGAGCCGGATTGGCTTTTCAGGAGAGAAGTGCTGGGGGGGATAATTCACGGGGTTTTTATCAGCACAATCTTTTTGCATAATATCTGGGTAAGAATGTGGCTCTTAATTCACTTTGTGGTCTGACTGCATTATTGTACAAGTGAACTGTCTGGAGGGATGGGTGTGGAATTGTTCCTGCTCTTGTTTGGATGCCTGGTGAGGAGACTGTTCAGGCCCTGCCACCATGTCAGCTGCTACATCTCCCCATGGCTTTTGTGTTCTGCAGAACACACTACTGTGGGAAAGGCTACCCCTAAGGAAAAACTCATTTATCTCATTTAAATCTTTATTAGAATGCTGATGAAACAATTTGTTTAGAAAAGAAACAGAGCTGACTGGTTTATTTTAACTTAAATCATTATTATAATGCTGATAAAAATTTCTGTTTAGAAAAGTGGAGATTAAAATATTTATAAATACTGTGCACAAGACTTAAACTTCTCCCTGTAGATTTTATGCTGGTTCACTGGTTTGTCTGCCATTTCACAATTAACTCCTCCAGTCTGATCTAGAAAACAAAAAAAGAAACAAAAAACAAAAACAAAAAAACCCAAAAAAAGAAATTTGTCCTATTTTCCCTGTATGTAAACAATTTATAAAAACATGATAATCAGCATTTTACCACATTCACTTGTGATGTTGAAAAAAGATGCTTAACCTTCAGTAAAGCCTAGATATTAAGGAAGGTTTTTTTTCAAATGATAATTATATAATAGAGCATATCTTTATTGATAGTCTCCTTCATTTAAGATAACAATCTTAAAGGGCAGATTAAATAAATATCTGTCAGAAATGAACTAAGTATAGTTGACTAAAGTAGGAGATAAAACTGGATCATTTTGTGAGACCACTTAAGAGCCTGCATTCTTCTAATTTTATAAAGCCATTTTCTGGGACTGTCAGTAAAGGCAAAACTTCCTCTCGTAGGAGAGAACCTGGCAAACAGGTTCAGACCTCAAACTTCTTCTCTAATGCCTCCATAAGTCTGGTTTCCTCTATCCTCACAGGACAACCAGAAAAATGGAGCCTCCAACTCTGCTGCTTTTCCTCTTCACTCTGTGCAGATTTAGATTTGTTTTTATTTGCTGCTTCTGTAATTCCACTTATTTTTGAATAGGCCACTAAAGCTCTCATGGGCCTTCATCTACTTCTCTTTACTAGAAAATATGCTGGATGCTTCTTTGTCAGGATCCCATCATTTGTATGGGAAAAGACTTCTTTGAGGCTGAACCTCTCCCATGCACCCACAAAACTTTCAGGACAATCTGGGACACTTTGGATAATAGTTACTCTGTAATATATTCCAGGAAAACTACAGGAACATGAAATGAAACCCCAAATACATTCTGCCTTTCATAGCACAGATGTTCCTTTTAAAGGAAGCCAGGTTAGCCTGTCCATTGCTGCTTGACTTGGACAGGAAATTTTAATTTCTGTCAAAGAGGTTCAGAAGGAAGGGGGGCCTTGTTAGGAATTTATCTTTCTTCTGTCCCATAAAAGCTGGTTTTACTACAGAAATCTGTATCATTATGAAATAAGTAAGAGGAAAAGGTGTGTTCAAAGTCTCTGTGAGCCTATAGAACAGATTTATTTAACATAATCATTAATCACTTTCAGTTTCTGCCACATCAAGAGAACAAAAAGCTGGCTTGGCCCAAATGCCTGGACTTGGATTTACAGCTGCACTGTCAGGGATGTGGCCTTTGGCACGAGGATGGAGCAAAGTTCCAAATTAATGCTTTTTGAATCTCTGATACATTAGCTAAATGTCTTGCTGCCACAGACTCCACCACCACCTCTTTGAAAAATAATTGACCTAACTGCCATTTTCAGTTCCTTGGCTGCTTGTTTATATTTCTTCATCAGAATTTAATCGACCTGCACAGTTCAGCTAGTGTTCAGTTCAATCCATTCAAATAGAGAGAAATCTCTCTAGAGGTCTCCTAGCTGTTTAAAGAATAAATTAATTTGATCCATAGTGCCTTGTAGTGGTGTGTTAATATTTCACCACCTTCCAGAGAGCTGTGACAAGGATGTGATCCTGTCTCTTTTTCTAAGAAAAATGCCTGTTCTTTCCAGCATTTGTGTTTCTAAGGTGATATGCTGGAAAATAAGCTCAGTCCATCAAAACAAAAATTTGTCCATCAAAGAGAAGACTTTTATTTTCCATCAAGATGTCCTGTCCAATACAGACATTAACTGACCCCATATGGAAAGGTGGGAATTAACTCCTCTGCAGTCAGTGCCAAAGTGCTTCATCTCTCACCCTATGCTGTCTCCACAACCTGGGAGCAGAAGGAGAGATTGGCTCTTCAGTCTGCCTTGTTCAGAGCCTAATATAGAATGGAAAACTGATCTTCAGGGACACTGAGAATTAGTAACTCAGCTTAAAAATACAGGCCTGTGCCCTGTTCTGCTGCTTTAGAACAGTACAGGGAATCTCTGTAAAGGCAGATTGAGCAGATGGGGGTTGGACCTTGCTCAGCCAGAAGTTACACCTTTCATTCAGGGTAATGAAGTGGGGCAGTTTTTCTGCTGCTGTCCAACCCAAGTTCATGACTTCAGGAAAGACCTGTTAAATTAATCCAACCCAGAACAGTGCTGTAACTCCCAAGTCTCCTCCCTCCCTTTCTGGCAAACACACAAGGATAAGGACTGTTGAAGCACTTGTTCCTGTTGTTCCACTGTGCACATGGCACACAGCTGAGGGGTACATTATAAGGCTGGTAATGTTGAGGGGCTCTCACTGTCAACATGTCAAAACATCTTTCTCCCAAAAAGTATTTATTTTATAATCTCTAGAATTTTCCACCTGCTGGCTGTGCTGTGTTGTGCCCTGTGACTGACCTAGAGTTGCCTTGCAGGACCGCATTGTGTCCATGACCCTGGACAAGGAGTACGATGTCGCTGTGGAAGCCATTCGATTGGTCACGCTCATTCTCCAGTGAGTGCTGCTCCAAACCCCTGTGTTCCCTTGGAAAATTACCTAAACCAGGAACATTTGATATTTGGATGTTTTGGAGTCATCAGTGCATCCATAGTGTGGAAGAATGCCAAAGGGCATTTCTACCTTTTGCCAAGGGCAGAACAACTGTCCTCCCAAAATGAGTGGATTACACTTGCTAGAATAACTCCAGCAGTAACACAGATGCAGCATAGGGAGATTTGATTGATTTCCTGACACAGCTGGAAAGTGTCACATGGTAGGACACCTGCTTCCAGGCTTTTCCATGTGGGGATGCAGTGGCTCCCCTGAGGTAAGGAGCACCTCAGACATCCTCCCACATGCTGATGTGGAACCAGCCTGTCCCCAGCAGCTTCATGAGAGTGCACCTGGAGGGGCACTGCTAGGCTTTTATATTTATTAAAAACTGTATTAAAGAACATCTGGTTTACAAGCAGATGCACAAAAGTTTTGCTTCATATTTTATATCCAGTGGCTCCACTTTGAAGAATGTTTTTGGACATGCAGAATTTGAATGAAGTTTACACTATCCTTTCCTTAGTAAAGAAGTCTAGACTTCAGCTTTTTATTTTTGGGTCACTTTTTTAAAGCGATTAGCCTTGTAATATTAGCAAGAAATTAAATCTTGCATCTACTTTTATGTTTCTAAAGTAAATATAACAAATATGATCTGAAATTATGTGTAGAGCACATCTCTTTCCTGCATTATCAGCAATTTTTGCGAACACAGTAAGTTTTAAGGTCAAAAACTACCCAGTGCACCTTTTTTTTTGTCTGTTCTTGCTTTCTTTTTGGTTGCCCATTGAAAGCACAGGCAAAGCTAAATGTCTTTAGCACCAGAAGGGTCACTTTGAAGAGCACAGGGCAATATTCTGGCAGATAGGAACTCCAAAAAGGTGTCTGGAGCAATCCTTATGGAGAATGACCAATTAAAATTATGCCTTGCATGAAGCCAAATGATTTAGAGTCCTGATACATAAATGGTTCTGATGGATGCCAACTAAACAAGGATGGAGGTAATATCCTGATTGTGACAGTGCTGGTATTTTTATATACTTTTTCTAATATTCTGGGACAGGCAGCCAAGGGAAGTGTTCAAAAGTGGGTGTAGCACTTGGGGACATGGATTAGTGGTGAACACAGAGGGCCTGGGTTAATGGTTGGACTCAGTGAGCACTGGGGTCTTTCCCAACCTAAAGGATTCTGTGATTCCAGGTTTCCAGTTTGTGATGTTTGAGCAGTGTTTGGCATCTTGCAGTATGTGCATTGAAGTTTGTATGATGGTCTAAGGAATAAGCAGGGGAGGGTTTGTATGGCAGTGATTCTGATCCTTTCATAATATTATTTTATCTCTCTATTGATACAACTGGGAGAAGGAAATCAGAGAAACTTCCAGTCTTACAGGCACTTCAAATACTTCTCTATTTTGAAATTGAACCAAAGCTCGAAGTCCTTGTTCAACCATGTAGGATTTTGTGGGACATGAGCCAACCTTGTAGCTGTCCCAAGTGAGCTGTGGGAGGTGTGGGATGGAAATGAAACCTGTGCTGTAGTTCAGGTGTTACTGTGACTCTTTCAGTGGGAGCGAGGAGGCTCTGTCCAATGAAGACTGTGAGAATGTTTATCACCTGGTGTACTCAGCACACCGGCCTGTGGCAGTAGCAGCTGGGGAATTCCTCCACAAAAAGTAAGTCATTAGTTGCCCTGGAATAAGACCAGATTTGTGATTGCTTCCTAAAGAGGTAACATCAAAAAGCAAAGAAGCAGTGGAGTGAAACATTGCAATTTAGGAAATGAGGTATTTAATTTAAATTACAGACTTTATTCTCTTGTTTAAACAAGATCTGGGGACTTGAAGAAACTGAATATGCATTTTTCTTGCTGTACAATTCAGATAACATTTCCTAACAAGGGTTAAATATACAAAGGCTGCACAAACTTCTGAAGTTGGTTTAAGTCCTGCAGCACTTGCTGAATTCCCAGTGTGATAAGATACATATATTGGAGCTGTCCTCTGGGTATCTACCTGATACATACACAGTCATAATTTCTATCAAGTTTTAAGCCAGTTTATTTCTCTGATTTGAATTTGAGAGGTTTTTTATGTAGCAATAATTACAAAATTTGTTTCTAAACTCGCTATCTTCCCCTGAAAATACATTGCATTATGTTACATCTCTCATGTCCTCACTATTCCAAAGGACATGAGCCAGCTTTTCCATAGATGTGAGTCACACCACCCCAGTGACTGTGACCAGGGCATTGCCACATCACAGGAGTTAACCTCTTCCTTTTATTGTTTGCAGTTAAAATTCTTTCTGCAGGAATTTGATTTTTTCCCCTCATGGGTTGTGACATTAGATTTTTTTATTACATGTATAGAGGATTTATATTAGAACCCAGATTGTCTAATTTTTTCATGTCAAGATACAGGTAGGAAAAAATACACAAAATCATCTGTTTTTCTTTGCCAGTGCTCTAATTCTCTATGGTTTATTAGGGATTTACAACTCCACGTTGTAATTGTAAGCTTTCATTGATGGATTTTTGGAATTCCAGCTTTCTGATCAAGCACTATCCGTTTTAAGGAATATATGTGCAGATCTCCATTACCAGCAAGACATTAACAGCAATACTAGTTATTGGAAAGGGTTAGGTTCTCATTAAAAATATACACTAAAATTCCTTTACTAATCAACATGTGACAAAATACTTTTGAAAAATGCCTCAAAGGTAAATAAGGACATAGCTGCACCTCACTGCACTTAGGATAAAAACTTCATTCTGACTTCTTTTGTGAGGTACTAAGCTGTGTTCTGTAAATGTGTCTCAAGGCTAACAGCATGGAGACAAGATTGTCCCATTCTTAACTAATTTTGTCTTGGTTTCTGCAAAGAAAATCTCCAGTTAAGTAAGTTAGAATCTATTTCAGGCACTTGAGGTGTGATTTATCTCACCTAATTTAATACATTTTGCTATCACTTTCTCTGTGATAATCATCAGTCATGCTCTCTGTGCTTAGCAAAGGAAAGCGAACAGTACAGAGGATATAAAAGATGACCAAATACAGAAGATCACTGGCTCACCCCTGAGGTGCAGGTTGTAAGTTTTCATCACCTGCAGAGGTGCTCATTGCTTATCTGTTAAGATAAGCAAGGGGATGAGGTAATGTTTTTAACTAAAATACAACATTTGTGTGGAACTTATCCTTCTCTTCAGTGAGCTACAGCAGTGAAATCAGAATTCTGTGTTTCATGTGTTAATCTGCTTTGTAAAAGTTAGGAACAGCTTTCAAACTTCTCAAAGTAAAACAGTCATTGTTGTAAGAGTTATACCGGCACACCTGAGGTCTCTTGGAAAATTTGAGCATTGAGAGGATGTTGGGATGGGCCATGCATCAGAGAACTCAGTGCAGAGTGTGTCACTTACCTGTAAAACCCCAAAAATGAGTAGGAGCTGGTTTTATCTTTGATGCTGCTCCTGGTACCTGAGGTTGGCTATGTGATGGATGTCAGGTTTGCTTGTACCATGTCCCAGTCAGAGTGATACATCCTTAGCTCTCAGCACACTGGTGCAGTAGTTGTTGCCTCCACTGTAAGACTGGATAAGTTATATATGCAAAAATGTACAAGTGATGCAAATACTTAAAATTCTGCAAAGCCTTCAATATAAGTAGGTTTTGGAGAACTTTTTCCTGTGTGAAATTCTTCCAGCTTTGTGAACTCAAAGACTGAAGATAAATTGATCTCTTCAGACAGGCAGAGGTTGTGCCCTCTTTCCCTTGAAAGAAATATTTAGATACTTGCACTGTTTTATGAACAAATTTACTAAGAGTGAATGCTCTTCATATTCTTGCAGAAATGAGAATTGTTGTGATAGCCATGAGCTCCTTCTGCTTATTTTCAGGCTGTTCAGCAGACATGATCCCCAAGCTGAAGAGGCTCTAGCAAAGAGGAGGGGCCGAAATAGCCCAAATGGAAACCTTATTAGAATGTTGGTTCTTTTCTTTCTTGAAAGTGAGGTAAAAAATTAATTTTTAATGTTTAAATGTTTAATAAAACCTGGAACTTAAATAGTGATTTATCAACATACAGTAATAAATTGTCTCTATTTTCATTTTTTTAATATTTTCAGAAATACTGTAAGCCCTTTTCCCTGCCCCTCCATTCTCATGTCCATTAAGGAANATTCTGACTTCTTTTGTGAGGTACTAAGCTGTGTTCTGTAAATGTGTCTCAAGGCTAACAGCATGGAGACAAGATTGTCCCATTCTTAACTAATTTTGTCTTGGTTTCTGCAAAGAAAATCTCCAGTTAAGTAAGTTAGAATCTATTTCAGGCACTTGAGGTGTGATTTATCTCACCTAATTTAATACATTTTGCTATCACTTTCTCTGTGATAATCATCAATCATGCTCTCTGTGCTTAGCAAAGGAAAGCGAACAGTACAGAGGATATAAAAGATGACCAAATACAGAAGATCACTGGCTCACCCCTGAGGTGCAGGTTGTAAGTTTTCATCACCTGCAGAGGTGCTCATTGCTTATCTGTTAAGATAAGCAAGGGGATGAGGTAATGTTTTTAACTAAAATACAACATTTGTGTGGAACTTATCCTTCTCTTCAGTGAGCTACAGCAGTAAAATCAGAATTCTGTGTTTCATGTGTTAATCTGCTTTGTGATTTCATTGTAAAAGTTAGGAACAGCTTTCAAACTTCTCAAAGTAAAACAGTCATTGTTGTAAGAGTTATACCGGCACACCTGAGGTCTCTTGGAAAATTTGACCATTGAGAGGATGTTGGGATGGGCCATGCATCAGAGAACTCAGTGCAGAGCGTGTCACTTACCTGTAAAACCCCAAAAATGAGTAGGAGTTGGTTTTATCTTTGATGCTGCTCCTGGTACCTGAGGTTGGCTATGTGATGGATGTCAGGTTTGCTTGTACCATGTCCCAGTCAGAGTGATACATCCTTAGCTCTCAGCACACTGGTGCAGTAGAAGACTGAAGATAAATTGATCTCTTCAGACAGGCAGAGGTTGTGCCCTCTTTCCCTTGAAAGAAATATTTAGATACTTGCACTGTTTTATGAACAAATTTACTAAGAGTGAATGCTCTTCATATTCTTGCAGAAATGAGAATTGTTGTGATAGCCATGAGCTCCTTCTGCTTATTTTCAGGCTGTTCAGCAGACATGATCCCCAAGCTGAAGAGGCTCTAGCAAAGAGGAGGGGCCGAAATAGCCCAAATGGAAACCTTATTAGAATGTTGGTTCTTTTCTTTCTTGAAAGTGAGGTAAAAAATTAATTTTTAATGTTTAAATGTTTAATAAAACCTGGAACTTAAATAGTGATTTATCAACATACAGTAATAAATTGTCTCTATTTTCATTTTTTTAATATTTTCAGAAATACTGTAAGCCCTTTTCCCTGCCCCTCCATTCTCATGTCCATTAAGGAAATTGATCTGAATATCTTCATGGTTTATTTAACTCGTGCATGTCCCCACTGTACTCACACTGCATTGCTGGTGCTTTGGTGGCTGCCAGGGTGCATTGCTGCACACAAATGTAAATGGTTCTTTGCTTACAAAACCATGCAAGGAGAACACCTCTGGACTTATTCTTTGTGGAGTAAAATAGTTTGAATCGAGATGGAACAAAAATTGCATAGTATCTCCAGTTCTGATTAGAATCATAGATGAACTCAGAATGGGAAGGACCTGAGGGTCCTTAGCTCAGAGCAGAGTCAGCTGTGAGATGAGATGAGATGAGATGAGATGAGATGAGATGAGATGAGATGAGATGAGATGAGATGAGATGAGATGAGATGAGATGAGATGAGATGAGATGAGATGAGATGAGATGAGAATCTTTCAGGGCTTTATGCAGATGCATCTTGGAAACATTGGAGGATGAGGAAAACGAGCATAGATGTGGTGACATGAAGTGTTTAATGAACACATCCAGGATGGGATTGTGCCCATGATTTATAGAGACATTTATATGGGAAATTGTATGGTACATGTAGTAACAGTAATACAGATTGGGAATGGCAGTGGAGGGAGGAAAATTTAAGATATTGTCAGGTACAGGACGTTCTTAAGATAGAGGGGGAAGGTTCAAAATTATACATTTGATTTGATAAATAGACTGAAAGAAAGGAATGACAGAAATGTTTCTCTAGAGGAAGTATATTATTATATAAACTATAATAGAGGCAGTATATTTTGGGTAAAAAGCAAAAGGAAAGCTATTACAATTGGTTATTTTAATTGTTATGAAGCCTTGAACAAGAGACTTCACTGTGAGAATGAAAAGAAACTCAGAGTTGCTGAGAAGGAAGCACAAAATTTGGTAGTGTTCTTGTTTTTTGGAAACACCTCATAAACCTACAAATTAATCTGGATGAAATGTCACTACCTATGTGAGCCTTCCATCTGCCACCTGAATGAATTTTTAGTTCAAGCTTCTTTAAAACTTAAATTGTACAGTTCATTGTGTTTTACAGTGTAGACACCTTAGATCTGAGTGCGTGTGACTGGAGTTACTGAGCACTGACTTTGTCTGTTCTTCTGAAGAGAAAAGAAAAACAGCTCCACTCCCAAAGCCAAGACCAACAAAGGGCCTCCCATGCTGCTCCCTGAGGGTCACTTCTCTCTCAGGGCCAGGTTTTGCTGTCATTGTTTTTGAGAGACTTGTTAGGAACCAAGTAGAATATCCTGACTCCAATTTTAGTAAAGAGTAAGAGAACTGGGACTTTGCATGTGGGTGGGACAAGTTAACACTGCAGCCTGGGGGTGCATTCTAGTGATTGAACCGTGCTCAGCAGCAGTTACTCTGTGACATTTTGCTCAAAGCTGTCAGAAACAGAGGAGGGGAATGTACTGACACCTCCTTCTCTGTACTTGGAGATGTTTTCTAGCTAAGGAATCAGTCCGTGGCAACCAAAAACTGCACGTTGTGCTTGTTACTTGTTGGTAGTAGTTAAAGATAAGTTTAGAAAACAGCGGAAGCCTATGGATTATTTTTCTCACTTTACAACAGTTGTGTTAATTCACATAAAAACATTTTTTGCAGTTGAAGTTAGTGTTAGATCTCTACGCCCTGTAATCACCAAGGCTTTTACTCCTTTTTTCTGAGCACATAGCAGCATGTATGAAAACCAATTGCTTGTTCAAAACAAATACAACTCTCATGCCTCACCATCTCTCCCTTTTATAATGCAGTGAGAAAGTGAGGGACGATAAGTTTAAACCTTCTGGGTCAAAACTCTGGGAAAGATTTTTTTCACAAACAAGGAGCTTCATGCAAAGAAGCTCAGTTTGGTTTTATTTCATCTCTGTTAAAACATAACCCCACTGCACTGATGTCATTCACTTGGGATTCAGAAATTCAGTCATTCAAAAAACCTTCCTGAATTAGTTTCAAACTGAATGTTCTTTCCAACTAACATAAGACACATGCCCAGGCACTCTCTGTGGCCATATGATTGTGAAAGTTGAAGAACTGGTGCTTATACCGAGAGCTGTACTGATGATTGCTTTGGATTTTCTAGTTGCATGAACATGCAGCCTATTTGGTGGACAGCTTGTGGGAGAGCTCTCAAGAACTGCTGAAAGACTGGGAATGTATGACAGAATTGCTCTTGGAGGAGCCAGTCCAAGGAGAAGAAGGTATTGGCTGAATCCTGTGCTTCCTTGATATTGCAGAGTGTTGTTAATTATTCCTTAAATACCTCTGCTACCCATAGCGAAAGATCTTTTTATGTTGTGGTTTGTTTGGAAAACATATTTGAGGATTTTGGGTTAATCTGTTTTTAATGTACTTTCCTTCAAAGCAGCAGTTTGTAGTGTATTTTTCTTTTTATTTGTACTCTGGAGGGTTTTTTTGTCAAAAAGTTTGCTGTACTCTGATTCCCTGATATTAAAGGATAATACTTGATTTGCTTGAATGTTTAAATAACTATTTCAATAAATGAAATAGCTAATACAGTTTTGAACAAACAAGTACTTCAGGTGATGCTAGTTAAGTATGGGGCTTTTCCAGGCAATGTGAACACAATGAATTCTCAGGAGAAAAACCAGAGGGGAATATTTCACCATTAGTTTCAGATTTCCTTTTGCTGATGATAGACCTGGGTGCACAAAATAGCCAGGGAGGCTGGGGGCAAAGCATCCCTAAGGTTAATGAGTATCATTCAAGATGCTTTATAATTCCTCAGGATTCTCCTGCTTCAGGAACCTTCACAAGGCTTAGGTGTTTGAAAAATGAATGTTCCTGGCAAGGTGTGCTCATCATGTCCATGCTTCAAAAGCTGACCTTTTGGTATGCAGCTGCTACCAAAAGGGTAATATCCTTAAGAAATTAGGCACTTCGCTTCCTTGTTTTTCCTTAGTCTAGTGGGGTTTGATCCTCCAAATGTGAGCAGAAGCACTTGCCAAAGAGCAGAGAATTTATGAGGAAGTGATAGTGAATTGTCTGTCACTGTTTGTCTTCTATGACTTTGCCTTATTTTGTAGATCTTCCTTATGTTCCCTTTCATTGATCCTCTTATCCAGCCTACATTTCTCTGGGCTTCTTTCACTTCTGCTGTGTCCATTTTGAGATGATGCAAATGGCAAATGAGAGAGGAGGCAGGAAAGCCTCGATAAATGTGACAGAGTTCCCTTGTGTGCGATGTTGTGTGCTGCTGTGTGTTCCCCTGCTGTCCCAGACATGTCCCCAGTGATGCTCTGTTCTCCCTGCAGCGATGTCGGACCGGCAGGAGAGCGCTCTGATCGAGCTCATGGTGTGCACCATCAGACAGGCTGCCGAGGCACATCCCCCCGTGGGCAGGGGCACTGGCAAGAGGGTGAGTGGGGCTGCAGCTGCCTGGCTGTCACCAGAGCATGGGAGATACATGTAACACCACATTTGGACATTCCTGCAGCAGAGTTTTTCACTGGTGTTTGCTGCTTCATCTGAACACTTCTAAGAAAAATATTAGAAATTCTGTTTCTGGACATGTTTGGTTTTCTCTTTGTTTGATTTGGGGATTTGCATTGCCAAGTTAAGCAATATAAATTTACAGCTTAAAAGTATTTTTTATTATATTTTTGGGTGTTCTTTTTATCATACCCCTGCCTTATATTTGTAATGTACCCACATCATCAGCCCCTAATGTTAAAGCTAGATTAGAGTGGAAAGTGTAGGAGCAGAGCAGACTACCTCTGACTGTCTTTGGTAAAAACAAATGTGCTGCTAACATTGACATAAAATTTGCAGAAAAGTCACCAGGATCTTCATCATGAGGGTGTTTAAGCACTGGAACTGGTACTGGGAGTTGGTGCCCTTTCCATGCTTGGTGGTTTTTGAGAACTGACTGGACAAAGCCCTGATCCTCCAGGGTGACCCCAGGGTGGGCTCTGTTTTGAGCAGGAGGGGTGGGACTGGGACCAGTCTGAATGTGTCTCTGGTTTTAGGGATCCATCCTCTTAGGCCTCTTCTACTGAGTGCCCTAAACATTTCAGAGCTTTGCATTCTGGCCAAACTGCCTTTTCAGTTTATTTTATAGTGACAGTTTGAGCACCACTGGAAGGGCATTCCTAAGGTTGGGCATGCAGTTTTAAACACTTCATTATAAGTCACAGGGTCAGGGTAATAACAGGCTTTCAGCTGTATTCTCCATAAATACAGCATCCATGTTCCAAATCAGTCTCAGCTTCTTAAACATATTCCCCTGATTTTTGGTAGTCCCCATCTTATTTAGGATAGACAAAAATGGAATAAACCCATGTGAACATATGGTACTTCTTTTAGCGAAACAGCATCCCAGGAAAAGCTCCAAGAAACCATCAGTTTAAACATGCTTTATGATCCTTAATTTATAAAGCACGTTCTTAGGAATTCCAAATTTATTAAAACATTTCAGGGTTAAGGAAGGAATCCATGGAAGCTCTTACTGAAATTTACACAAGCATGTCTTATCTTTTGTTACGAAAACTGTATTGTAAGCATAGCTTTTTATGTCTCAAGCTGCAAACGTTTCTAGCAGTCAAAGTGACCTTTAAATTTATTTTTTAAAAAAATACGGTGTTGGTGTTTTCTGTTTGAAGCACCAAATAATGTCAGTATTAACTTTCCAGGTATCTTCTCTTTCTCAAGAGATCTACAGCTCAATTCACTGAAGTTCAGCAAATTGCTTAGTGTTAAGTTTTCAATGTCTGTATTTGGAGCTAAAGAAAACAGATCAGTGAAACAAATTCCACCTTCTGAAGGATGATCCAAAGAGCCTGGAAGTCATGCTGGGGACCCAGATCAATTCCCATTGCCAGGGAACAGCAGTATTTGGTCACAGAACATGACTGGGCTGTCGGGGTTGGGATTCTGACCTGGGTTTGCACTGCTCTGAGCTTGGCTGGTGCTGCCCTGGTGGGTGTGGAGGGGCTGAGGCTGCTCTGCACCATGAACTGAGCAAGTGGTGTCTTGTCCTGGTCACTGATCCATTCCCCCTCACTTCCATGGCTGTTCTGAGTTCATGCTTGCACAGTGCCTGGCATCCAGCCTTTTGTCCAGCTGCTGCTTCTCCCTTGCAGGGCCATGTAGGGGTGACACTTAGCTTTTGCTTCTTTTCAGTTAGACTGTGAGCTGTGGGATGGTAGTTGTCTCTGGAGATTTGTCCTGTCTCATGATTCCACCAACTTCTTCTCTGAGTTGAAAGGGGAACAGATTGCTAATTAAGCACCCACCTTGTGAAATAGTTTCTCCTCTGACTTTACCTTGTAACTCTTACCGTGCAGTCTGGGTGATTGGCTGTAGGTGAATCAATAACTAACTTGAGTAGTTTATTATCATTATTTGTTTTCAAATATTCTTTTCTTTCCTGAAGCCAGGAAGCCAGATCTGAGCTTTTATGAAGCATGCTGTTTAGATTATTGTCTCTCTGGTCACTCTTTCCTCGGGGGTTTTGTTCTGACAGCATTAGTGCTCCAGTACCTCACTGTGAACTTGGATTCACATTCTCACTGAGAATTCCATTGCAGTTTAGAGAGGAGGCCATCAATCTGCTACTGAAAATCATTGTTACAGTGTGGTTTGGTTTTGGTTTTCTTAATTATACTTCAGTTTGCCCTGAGGTTTTACATTAACACTTGGTTAAATGTGTGAAAGCCAGAGTTCAGTACAGTTGGAAGCAATTGCAAAACTTCCACTGACTTGGGTTATATTTGAATTTCAGTCCTAAAAAGATGTTGATGTGTGGAGACAATGTCATGCTGGGTGATACGGTGTTTTCCTTTTCAGTCACAGCTTCTTAGGACACACAGTCCTCCCACTTAATCACTCTTCAGCCCAAATGTGTTTTGAGTTTTTTATTCCCTCCTCTTTTGATTTATTAAAAATACACTTGCATGTTTTTGTCTGTAATCAATGTTTGTAAAAGTTAATGAATGCTGTATACAGAAAATGTATTTACTGTAGTTATGTTTGATCACTTCCAGGTCTTAACAGCAAAAGAAAGAAAAACTCAGATAGATGACAGAAATAAATTGACTGAGCATTTCATTATTGCACTTCCCATGCTGCTATCAAAGGTACAGTTTTCAACAAAATCAGTCTTTCACTGGGATTTACAGCTGTCTTTAAACTTTTTCATTCTGTAGTGCAGGAGTTTATTTTTACTTCCCTGTTTTGTTTTGTTGCCATGATGTTCCAGTATTCAGCTGATGCCGAGAAGGTTGCAAACCTCTTGCAAATCCCTCAGTACTTTGACCTGGAAATCTACAGCACAGGCAGAATGGAAAAGGTATGGTGTCTTGGGCAGGAAGTGTGGTTGCTCTCAGATGTGACCACTGTTCAGCCCCACAGTGCTGTGCCTTTGTTTGGCACGTGAGCAATGCAGCCTTGGTTGGGTGTTCTGGCAGTGGCTTTGCTCAGTGTCATTGTCTCATTGAGGGGAAAGCTGAAGTTCTTTTCTACTCTGCAGCATCTGGATGCCTTACTGAAGCAGATTAAGTTTGTTGTGGAAAAGCATGTGGAATCAGATGTTCTGGAAGCCTGCAGCAAAACCTACAGCATCCTCTGCAGTGAGGAATACACCATCCAGAACAGAGTTGACATAGCTCACAGCCAACTTATTGATGAATTTGTGGATCGATTTAACCATTCTGTTGAGGATCTACTGCAGGAGGTTTGTTTTCTTAAAATTATTGAAGTTAACTGCTTAAAATATGCTAGGATAGGCTACAGAAAAACATTCTTAGCAAGCCATGAAATTATCCATCTGAAGACGAACTGCAGCAGCAGCTATTTCATAACTATTTGGAGCTACTTCTCCCTAGGGAAAGTCCCTTACAGTAGCCATTAAGCCTTCAAATCATTGATGAAGACTAAGACTATGGGACAGTCCTGCTTCTGAAAATTTAGTTGAGTGTCAAAACAGTCCTCATAAGGAATTAATGGATGAATGGGTGAAAGATAATAGAAAATGCAGAGGAAGTTGTGTTTACATTAATGTTTGTAGTGATTCCAGTAGTCCCAAATGTATATGCAGGCAGCAAAATCAAGATTGGATTATGTTTTGAATGGAAGAGAGGATTTAAGAAAATATGTGTAATGGCATATTAAAAGACCCCTGGAAAGAGTAAAGATCCAGGTCTGAAACCTGGAATTACCTGGGATTTAGTTGTAAGAATTTACTCTTCAAAATACAGAAGACAGAATACATTAAATAAGCCTAGAAATTGTACTAATTTTTTCTTCCTTTGAAGCAATTTAACTTTGTATAGGACTACTTAATTTGTTGTAATTTTCATGCTTTTTAAACAAAGCATGAGAGCTGCATAAACCTTTTTCTTTCCTTGTAGTCATGCACTGTGCTGTGGCAGATACATTTAATTTTGATGTACATTTAGAGAAAGTTAAGCTAAGTCCCTGATTTAGAATGGCATATTAAAAAACGCCTTTTTCCTTTTCCTATTTTTTACATAATGTGTTACATACAGGCATACTGTAAATATGCCTTGTCACATTGCAGAGTAAATTAAAATATTTGTATAGCTGCAGAAATGTGCATGAGTGAAAAGGCAGCACATGCAGGAAACCTTCCACAGCACAGAGGAGATGTGGCACTGTAGTAGTTTGGCAGTTTTTCTTATCTTAGAAAATTGCTAGGAAAATTATGGTTGGAAATACCTTGTTTTTACTTGATTCTCTAAGAGAATTTGCTGTTTAGTTTAAAAAAATACTAAAATTATGTTGTGGCATGTTTATCAGCTAGTGATTAAAGCTGGTGGTTCAGTCCTTTTTTGTAAAATAAGCTAGAACTCTGATTTTGGTCTTGGGAATGATTTCTACTCATAGAGGATACGGATATGGGTTTGGATATTAATACAGTGATAATGCTGACTATTGTTAGATGATCTTACTTTTTAGTGCTGTGCAGTGGTTACTTAAATATTATGGAATCTACATAAAAGTCACTGGAAAAGTTGGAGACAGTTTTGATACTGGTATAAACCCCTAAGAAGCCTGTGCAGTAATGTACTGGGCTGAACTGCTGGGCTCTCCTCATGGATTGCCTTTCCTTTGCAGGGAGAAGAAGCTGATGACGATGACATATACAATGTGCTCTCCACACTGAAGAGGTTGACATCCTTTCACAAGTAGGTGGTGTCTTCCCTACAGATTTGTGATGCTAATTTTATCCTTTCAGCGAGTATCAAGCCGTGTCAGGTGTGGGGAAAGGAGAAATCACATGGCCTGAAATCTGAAGTGGAGATGGAGGAATGACTGGTGTTTTGTCAGTAGAACTGTTTGGGTTGATCTGTCCTTGCTCAGTTTGTGCCATAACCTTTGCAGATGGGATTTGCAAGTGGCACCCCCTCCCTTGCAGCCAGTGCCCTTACACCCATGAGTAAGTTACTAGAGGTCCTGCTCTCCTGCATGGCACAGTCAGAGCACAAGGGACACTTCTCTGCCATTTGTGCTTTGGGGCTCAGCTTAAGAGCGCCTGCAGGAAGCTGTTTCTCAATGCCTTTGAGCTACTTCTCTTTAGCTCAAAAGAGATAAAAAGGTACCAGAATATAGCTAACTGTAGTGCAGAGGCTGTGCTTTAACAGTTTCAGTTGAAAAGCTGTGTGTAACTTGTATAGTTACATAGTGAATTTTTCGGCTCCGGAGGCTGAAGAGCCCTTCCTGAGCTCAGCTGTAAGGCCAGGCTGAGGGCGGGGAGCTGCGTGCCCCCAGCTGTGGGGGCATGGCCCTGTGGCGGATGCCTGACGAGGAATTTTTGAGCTGAAAAAGACATAAGACAGTTTTTCCTTTCATATTCTCTGTAGGATAATCTGTGCAGTTATCTGCCTCTGCACACCGAGGAGACTTTACTGCTTTAATTACAGTGCTGTAATTAAGGAGGTACCACTCTGCCTTGCTGGCAACCCTGTGATTTATTGAAACAGCATTTCTGCTTAATATCACCAGTCAGAGGCAGCTCTCTGGCAGCCTCTAATTTATCTATGAAACATTTTATTTTAGTACCTCAAAGACCATCTAAATCCACAAAATATGTTTACACTTTTTTACATTTTTAGTTCAAATATTTTGTTTTAAGTTTTCCTATTGTTATATTCATGGATTTGAACTGGAAGTTAAGGTGCATCTTGGCTTTAATGGCACAGTCCTGGAGTGCACAGTGCACTCTCATGTGTTTTCTGGGAAGCTCTTACCAGTGACATTTTCCACAGCTAATACCCTCCAGCATGGGAGGTGTTTCATGGCAGGGCTTCCAGCAGGACCTGGACATTCCCAGTCCTGAGTTCAGTCTCTGTCCCTTTTGGAACTAGAGAGTTATTCCTTCTGGCTGAGCAGGGCAGTTAATGATTTAACCCAGGGCAGGCACAGCCATGGGAGGAGTGAGCTTGGCTAAGTGATCCAGGTGCTGGGATGAATCAGATGCAAAAGGCTGCTGCATCCAGTTGAGACTCCCAATTCAGTCTCAGTATCCCTTCTTCCAGGTGGGTATTTCAGTCAGCAAGTTTATGATTATTCTGAGCTGGCTTGCTCTCTTATAAACATCTTATAAACTCTTTCAAATTATCTCAGTTTATTTCCACTGCAGAAAAATGTGTATGGAGAAAGTTTATCTCCTCCCTACAAAAATCTCATGTAATAAAATGTTTTTCCTGGATTATCAGAAAACCTGGTTTGTGCTTTTAGCATGGAGTGAGCTGCTGTGCAGCTGCTTGGTCAGGTGTAGAAACCACCAAAGCTCTGGACTGGAGGTTCTAGGAACACAATTAATCCTTTATTTCCTCTCGTTCCAGTGCTCATGATCTCACCAAATGGGATTTGTTCAGTAACTGCTACAGATTGCTGAGAACTGGAATTGAACACGGAGCTATGCCAGAACAGGTACCCATAACACCTGCGCTGCATCACTTGGGTGTCCAAGGTTCTGAAGGGTCTGGTTGTACAGAAGTTCAAAAGCTGAATGCACTTCAGTGATGTAGGAAAAACAACCTTGGAATGAAATTTATAGTGGAGTCAAGGGCTGTCTAAGAGGTGGAAAACCTTGGATTCTGTGATTTTTGAGCTCCTTCCCTCACCTTTTTCAGCTGTAAAGTTGGGAATAGCTAATGTTCCTGACTCTGAAAAGCAGTGCATCAATCCTGGTGTTTACACTGAAACCCAACATTGTAAGCCTTGGCTGCAATCAGAATTATCACAAATTATTATTGTGCATTGGAGGTAAGATGAAAGCTAATAAAAACCAGGAAATTAGGACATTCTAGTGGAGTTCTTTTAGTGAAACATATCTTGGACTTTGTTCCCTCAGAGGTTTTGTTTCTCATGGATAAGCACAGGCACCATCTTATATTCTCCCATGATTCCTGTTTAAATGGCAGAATTCCTACTTCAGCATTTAAACATATTTTAAGTTTTGATTTGATTTCAGTTAGAAGTCAGTTGTTAATTTTAGTTCAGCTTCATTTAGAGAAAAATAAATTCTCATGAAATTCTAAATCAGAATTTTGTAGAAAGGACCCTAAGAGGCAGCATTGTCACACAGTGTGTGAAAGTCTTTTCTGCAGTTGCTGCTTCATGCTGGAGTTGTGCTACCTGGAGGGACAGGGCTGGCAGATAAAACCTGTCCATGCAGCTGCCAGGCATCCTCAGTTTCTGGGTCTGACAGTGTGTGGCTCTCCAAATGCCTTCATAAGATCTTAGGGGAAAGATCCTGAAATCTGAACTCTGTTCAGTATTTCTTCCTTCAGGGATCCCAGAGGAGTTTGGCACTTGTAGCACCTAATTTGCATTTGAACTGTTCAAGAGACACCATGGATGCTTTCCTGGGCACCATGGATATGACCCTGGTCTTCTCCATGGGACAAGTTGTATTTTCTCCCTTTTTTAGCAATTGGACTACATGTTCATTTGACAGTGGAACAGATTTCCAGGTTGTTTAATAGTGAAGCTAGGTTTAGAGGTATTTAAACAGATGCTTTTCACCTGAGACATGTAGATGTTGGGTTCTGCTTCTGTCACGCTGTCACATCCCCTCTTGCTGTACCCTAGTGCACAGTTTTCTGGTGTTTCCCAGCATTTACATGTTTGGGTTTTTTTGCCTCTAGTAGGCTGATTTCTTATTGCACCAAACCAACCAAGGAATAATGTGATGCCCTTGAAAAGAAAAAGTTCTAAGAGCTGCTCCTGTCTTCTCACCACGAAATGCATGATAGATTTTCTATACACTGCCTGCTGTGCCTGCTGTTAGCAGCATGCTGAGATTCTGTGTGTTCTTGTGTTACAGATCGTTGTCCAGGCACTGCAGTGTTCCCACTACTCTATTCTCTGGCAGCTGGTGAAAATCACTGAGGGCTCCCCTTCCAAAGTAAGTGGCCATTTGATCATACAAATTTTACTGATAGAACCCAGCTTAGATAGAAAACACCTGATTCCTCTGTAACTTTGAGATAAAAGTAAAAGATTACAAAACAGAAGACAAGCTGAAAGCAATTTCTTGGTTTCTATTTAGATACAAATCAGGTAAACTCTGACGGGGAAGGAAAAGGTCACTGGTACCTATAGAGGAGAGGTGAGAGCAGAGAGGTAGAAAAGAGAGTTAGGAGGAGAATTAGTGGGGAAGGAAGATAAAAGATTAAAATGGAGAGAATTTATAATATGTCATAAAACTAATCTTAAGTCTTTGATTTTCTGTATCCCATAGATTTATGAGTTTTTGTTCCCAGGCTCATGTTTCAAAGATGATTTTTTAGCTTTGCCTTGAACAACCAGACAGAGATCAGAGATGGAGGGATTGATTTGTAAGAAATGTTCATCTGCTGCCAGCTGGGTCATTTGTTTGACTTCATGCTGGCAGTAGTAGCTGCTCTGTTTCACCTAGTGAGGTCCCATTTAGGCAGTCAATACACAGGATATGAACATTTTGGAGTTGTAAGTACAGGAATAAAAGATGGAAACAAGTACAAGTATCTTGGTAAGTTTTAAATTTGTTCACGTGTGCTTTGCATCCATCAGGTGTACCTTTTATTGCAGGGAGTTTGCAGGTGGAATGTGGAATTCTGGTAAGGTTTCCTTCAAAGTGAATTCTCTGACTACAGGTCAGAATTGCTCAGTATTTTTTGTATCTTGTACTGATTCTGTGGTGGAGTCATACCTGACAACCTTAGGCATACACTGGGAACAGAGTTGCTTGGAATGAAGTTATTTTTTGTCTTGTGTTCAGGCATTTCTGTATGAGGAATACCTCATATTACAGCTGTTGGGTATGTTCTGGATCATGACTCCCCATCTGATCCAGATGTTTTGGACTCGAGCCTCCATGTGTGTGGTAGGGAAAAGCTCAACTCATGTTTAAATCTAATTAGGATCAAGTCAGCTCGTTGATTTATTAACAGTACATAATTGACCTACAGCCAGTGCAGCACACCTCCGGGATAACTTTCAGCTCTACAGAATGCAGGACCAGAATATTGGACACTTTTATAATATTAATGAACACCTACAAATTCCAAACTTGCTCTCAGCTGCTCCCAGGTTACTGAAGATTACCAAGATACACAGAGCTCTTGTTTCTTCAGGCTATTACCGGGGGGTGCTCTGCAGGTTGCCCCTCACTGTTCAATATAATTTGTAAATTGGGCCAAAGGGAGTGTCTTTGATACATTTTTATCATCATAAAAATGTATCAAAAACATTTTAGCAGAAGGGTGATAATTAATGATTATTTGAATTTTTAAGGAAGTCCAAATTCTCTGCCCAATAAAAAAGATTTCATGAGTTAAATACAGCAGAGAGTTGGGGCAGAGTTATTTAGAAACACTTCTTCAAGCTAGCCTGTGGAGAGAAGGGTGTTCTGTGGAGTCATCATGGTGTCTAAAATCTGAAAAGGAAAAATTGCTTACTGAAAGGTAGCATGAAAAAATGAAATGTGTAAGACTCGAAATATCCACAGTCTGATGTTTTAACCTTCAGTCTCCCTCTGTTCCATACTCAGTGGAGGCTGAGGCTGTGTGGGCTGTTTGTGCAGACTGGTGCTCTTTGGGGTAACCAGCACTGTACTGGGGGAAGAAAGCTTATCCTCCATGGCTTGTGGGAGCAGCCTGTTGTAGCCTGGAGGAAAACTCCTCCTCAGGTGGAAAGGGGTTTGAGGGTGGTACCACAGGAAGCTGGTAATTTGTCCCCTGGAGTTCTCTCGTCTGTCAGTCTGGGGGAGCAAGTACAGTCTTGAGGCAAGAGACTTGGGGATTAGAACATGCACTTGTTTCCAGCTGGATTTCTTCAGCCATGTCCCAGGTACCCAGGACATTGTACTTTGCACTGTATGTATATGTATTGAGAAGGAAATATTTGCAGAAAAATACAGTCCTAAAACCTAGAATAGTAAAAATAAAGAGTAACTAGAGCAAACATTGAGAGGCAAGACAGAGGTCAGCCAGTTGTGAGTGAGCAGCAGCCAGAGCTGCAGCCAAATGCATGGCTATTGGAGTGTGATTAGTGGGCAGAGGTCTTAGGAGAGGGGATTTAAGAACAATGTGTTGACTTGGTGACTTTTCATATTTATATGGGCATGATGACAGAAGACACAAAAAGCTGAAGAGAAGAAAAAAGCCACAAGGTGCAAAAGGTTGGACCATTTTCCACAGTCGGGTAGGAAGCTGAGGGTTCTTCAACACTGTGAAGTTAATACTGCAAATAATAAGTACTTTAGAGGAAAAGCAGTGAGCACATACAGAGAAGAGGATGGGGTTTGGGAGATAAGCACAGCAAAAGTACAGCATTTTAAAATTATTTCAATGGAGAAAGTCAAGCTTTAATTTAAAGCTATAAAGTACCTGAAGAATTGTAGGCATGGGTCTTCTGCACACCCTGGTTTGGATTTGGGTGGTGGCACAGACCCCAGTCCTTGCTCTTAGCAGCTTATTCCAGTTCCTGCCATGGAGCACTTAAATTGCAGAGTTGTGACCCCGTGGTTTTGTCTAACAGCGACAACAGGATAATAACGTGGTTTCATAGCAGCTTTGCTGCTGAAGGCATATCAGGTACTCACACCTCAAGAGCCTGGGCTGTGCACCCCAGAATGCTCAAAGACTTTGAAATCTAATTAATTTTTTTCTTCCCATTTTCTCTGTTGAAAAAAAAATCCCCTACTCTTCAGTAGTCTGGGGATTTCTCCATGTTCAGAAGAGTTCCAGGTGGCTCCATTGCACTGTTCAGTTGGGCTTTCTCCTGCTGTCTGTAACTTTTCAGTATGAATCTCTATCATGCTATACTGTCAGGAGAGAGGGTAATAAATTCCATGTACCTGCCTGTTAGTCACTTTGACAGAAAGAAAAATGGGAGACACACTCATTCCCTTTTTAACCTGCATGTAGGTTTTTCCATAGGTTTAAGTTTCTCTCTTGAATTCATGAACATCTAAATGGTTGGTAATTGTGATAGAAAGTAGAAAGCATGAAAGTGATTGTAATCCCAGTGCTTAAATCAGGTGATTATGTAACAGTGAACTGATAGGCCTGGCATAATCAGTTAGATTCTAGGTAGAATATTGGAGTGGGAGATAGACAACACAGTTGGTACAAGGCTGAAGGGCCAACAGCTAAGACTGGAAGAAACACATGAATTTCTTGTTGATAAAATTGCGTTTTTGACTGAGAAGAAAACTAATTGAAACACCAGAGTCTGTAAGACATTAATACTACATTGCATTTCAGGTGCATGTTTGAATTTAATGTAGCTCATATTCAGGAGCTTAAAACTGATCCATACATTAAAGAAAAATTGTAGGTGAGCAATCCTTGCACAGTGTAGTAGTTTCTGATGCATTCTGGGAGAGATCTGTTCTCTGCTAAAAAAGGGTCATGTTTGTCAGTCATCTGGGAAGGCCCTGAAAATGGGGATGATACAGATTGATTGGTGAACAAAATACAATTTAAAACTTAAAAAAAAAAAGGCATCTTAATGCTGCCAAATGGGAGATTTATATCCAGGGAAAAAGAGAGGTGATTAATGGCAAGCTGTGGGTTAGAACAGAGCAGAGCTGTCCTAGTGATTCTGTAATGGCAGGGTAATGCAGTGGCACCATGGCTGCATCATCAGAGAAAAACTGATCCAGGAATAGGAAGGTGAAGGAGTGCACAGACCTTCAGTGTCCATATCAGCAAATCCCACTCACTGCATTGGAAGTGATGAGAAGTTCAGAGCTTTGGGAACACTCAGGGTGCTTGGGCATGCTGACAGTCCTATCTTGGGCTGTCAACCAGCACAGGGAGAACATATGGACCACAAAAAGGCTCTGCAGTAAACACAGAGCAACGAGAGCTCGTGGCAGGAAACATAAGAAAAGCTAAAACCAGAACTGAGACACATGGGCTGAACAGCCAGCATCAATAAAACATTTCAGAAAGGAAAACACTGCATGTGCATTATGTAGGTTCTTCACATTTACTTGGAGGTTGTTCTGCAGGACATTCTCTCTTCCATGTGGAAGCCGAGAGGGCTACTCTGAAGGAAGGTCTGCAGGGCATGGGCCAATCATCCTGCTGTGAATTCATCACATTCCATTTAATTTGGGGTTCTCATTTTCTTCTCAGTGATTGGTTCTTCATCACTGTAAAACCAAGGGACAGTTTCTTTGTGTGTTCGCTTTGAATAGCTTACTTCTTTCACAGCTTTTTGTTGAATGTATGAAATCACCACCATTTCTTTATTTTGCTTCCTCTGAGAAACCTTTTACTAATTTTTTGATACTTTTTTTTTTTAATGTTTTTTCCAGGAGGACTTGTTGGTATTGAGGAAAACTGTGAAATCCTTCCTGGCTGTCTGCCAGCAGTGTCTATCAAATGTCAACACTCCAGTCAAAGAACAGGTAAAGAAAATGTCTGTCACACTCTTAGAAAAGTGTATGTGTTAAATTGTAGTAAAACTCAAGACAGCACTTCATCAAACTTAAAGCAAAATCATCTGTGCTCCTGTCTAAATAAACCTGAAAAAACAGTCCAGAAAAACAGCTGTATTAACAGAACTTCCAAAGCACAGCTCATGACAAATTAACTTTTGATTAAGTAAAGAAAGATTATCTGGATGCTCAGGCTCATTTCCAGCCCTTGTGACTTCAGGCATCTAACTCAGTCACCTCAGATGAAAGACTCTTCCTGTAAACACTGGATTAAGAGATGGAAATAGGGACTTTGGGAGGGTGACTGAGACCTCAAATGGGCTGAATCTTTTTAGATTTTTTTCCATTGAATCAAAGGGTTTACTGAAATAATTAAGTCTGTCTCTGCAGGACACAGTAGCTGGTATGTTAACTGAGGTTATGTGAATATACCCTTGATATATGTCAGTGACATTTTATTTGTCTACGAATGGCATTTCTATCAGACTTCCCCAGACTTTGTAAAGAACATAACTAATATCTGGCCTGTGGTTTTTGCCTGTGGTATTTAAAAGATAATACTTCTTTAAAGACTTGTATATATAATAAATATATTATATATATATATATATATATATATATATATATATATAATAAAGACTTATTTATTTTAAAGATAGTTCTGTTTGGCATTTACTCTCTGCTCTTCAGGTTGCTGAATATAAACATTAAATGCTCAGAGATGTCAGTAGTTTATATATTTCTAAAAGACTTATGTGTCATTGGCTTCCAGCAGATTTTACTTTAGTAATTGTTTTTTAATATTCAGAGTAGTTACTCTTGGCATATTATATGAATACTTTATGATGTGAAAATATTTTCTAGCTCTAGCAAATACCTCCCTTCCAGCTCAAGCTGGACCTGACATCCTTCCTGCCTCAGCAAATGGCAAATGTTCCTTCCCATGCCTGCAGTGGGTTTGTTCTTGGGGGTGTATTAACATGGGCTTGTTCTCTTTCTTACTAGTGGCCACCATGGTTTTTTCATTGATAATTTAGACTTTTGTTTAGAAAGTCCTTTGCAGTTCCCAGTTGTGGGGACATTTTCAAGCCTCAGCCAGACAAACCTACACCCAACCAGACCCAGAGACAGCAAGTGTCCCAGGCAGAGTAGGCTGGATGGAGACTCCAGGCACCCCTTCTAGCTGACTCTTCTATGATGTGCTCTTGTTTTCTAACTCAAAAAGTGTATTTCTGTGAGTGCAGGACTGCTACTTATTCCTCTTGTTTTACTGGATTCCTTTTGAGAGTCATGTGCAAATAGTATTGTCTCCCTACCATACTTGATCCTTACTCCAGACATTCTTCCCAGACAAAGTTGGTGTCCATATTAAAGGAAGGAAAAATGTGTGAAGTATTTAGAGAAACAGGATTGAAACATATCAACTTTTCTATGAGTGTTTGAGGGAAATAAATATCCTGTGACTAAGCCAGCTGCTGTCTTTATATTGGACAGAACTCAGCACCAGCAGTGCATTACTCATCTGCTTTTTTAGAGGTCTGCATTAGGAAGAGCTTCAGTTCCATTGAATATCAAGGGAGTTTAGAGCAGGTGAGATCATCACTGGAATGAATCACAGCCTTTTGCATCAAGGGGAGAAAAATCCCAAATAGCAACATCTGTTCCTAAGGCCTCAACAGAACATAGTTTACAATGATCTGCATCTGTTCTTGCCTGACTGTAGCTCATTCAGATTTTATAACATACTCCCAGAAATAAGGGAGCCACTAGGAAGTTCAGCATTTACAGATTTTTTTTTTTTTTTTTAATTTGTAAAGTATTCAGAACCTGAGGTTAAAAATAGAGAAGCTATGAATAAAAAGGCCTCTGAAAGGTGCTGAACGTGATCAAATGCAGACAGCTGGCTGTGAGACCCCAACAAAAGCCATTTGGGAGCAAAACAGTGTTATTAGCATGCAGGAATGAGCCCTTGGAAGACAGGAAGGTAGTGACAGCTGCCTTCTTTTCTGTCTCAGGTAATGAGGGTTTAACAGTAATGAGCATAAATTGTGGACAATTCTGCCCGGGTTGGCTTTTGTCTGGATTTGAAAGCTGTGCAGATGAACTTGGTTCTTTTTTGCAAGAACTGTTGATGAAATTCTGCAAGAATTTCCTTGCTGTGGCTGTTTGTCTGTATTTTTGGGGTCTGACAGTGACTCAGCTTGAATTTTCCCTCAATGCTGTTCATATTTTTACTTGTTTGATTTTTTTGGCTGTTTATCAAAAGAGGTGTCTTCTCTTTACTACAAATTTGGCTGCATGCCTTGGATCAGAGTTACATTTAGAATTCTTTTCATGGAGAAGAAATGGAAGTTTAATATGGGTCATCTGGGACATGGAGAAGGTGATAACCACAGTTCCTAACCTAGGAACCAAAGGCACAGCGTTCTGAATTAGAGGAAACCATTATGGAATACTTTTCACAGCACATAAACAACAACACCTGAGAACAATTTAAGAAGCTGTTTAATAATAGCAGGCAATATCTGGAAATCAGATCAAAGGTATTTTAAGTTTTCCTTACTTGACTTTTCACTGCATTCATTCTCTTGCCTTTCAGGCTTTCATGCTGCTCTGTGACCTCCTGATGATTTTCAGTCACCAGCTGATGACGGGAGGTCGAGAAGGGCTCCAGCCTTTGGTGTTCAATCCAGACTCAGGCCTCCAGTCAGAACTTCTCAGTTTTGTGATGGATCATGTGTTTATTGACCAAGATGATGAAAATCAGAGCATGGGTATGTTTAGCTTTTTTTTTCATAAAAGACACAGAAGAAAGGAGAAAATAGAATTTTCTGATCATTTTGTTCAGATGTTTTCAGAAGTATTCCTACTTTAATTTTGGAAGGTTTCTGCTCTGAAGTTTCTTTTATAAGTTGTGGAATATGCTTATATTACATGATAACTGTATTTAAGATTTTATCTGTGTAGTTTATTTTTCATTCACAGATGAAGTCTTGCATAGGGACTTAACACTTCTGGCATTGCCATTCAATGTTAATGCTTCTTACAACTGGATTTTACTTTCTGTTGTTCAGAGCCATTGATTTCACATCTGAAAATCCAAGGCATGCAGAAGTACTGGTGCTTCTGATTTTTCTTTTGTTAAATATTTATAGCTTAGTCATGTTAATGGAGCCTCTCTGAATGTCCTGCATTTGAGAAGTTAATCAAGAGCATTCAGCAAGTGTTCACTGTGGCCTTCCACAGGATATAGGAAATATATGACTCAGTTCCATGTGGATTATATTCAGGATCTCCTCAGGACTGTGGAGAGCAGCCTTGGTCAGTGATGTGTCATGTTCCTAAACTTCCCTGGAAGTTTTGAAGTAGGCAGGACCTAAGATTTATCACCTTTATCTCCAACAATCCTGCTTGCTTCATGTTGAAGAATTTTTTTTTTTTTTCCTAAAAGCTCCCCTTTGATAATGTTGTTTTAGAACTTAACAGTTACTTACAAACATTCTGTTGTTGATAATGCTTTCAGAGGGAGATGAAGAAGATGAAGCCAACAAAATAGAGGCTTTGCATAAGAGAAGAAACCTTCTGGCTGCCTTTAGCAAGCTGATAATTTATGACATTGTGGACATGCATGCAGCAGCAGATATCTTCAAACACTATATGAAGGTACAGGCCGTGCATCCTCCTGTTCTGACTGAGCCCAATCTGCAGTGTTAGGGCTTCTCCTGCTATCCCTGCCAGGACTGTGGTTACAGCCCAAACACTCCTCAAAGCTTTTTCAGCTTTATTTGATCCTGTGTAGTAGTTTTTCCTTTCTAAAGTGGGAGAGGGAGAGAAATTTAATTTAAATTAGTACCAAAGAAGGCAAAAGCAATATTTTAGAGGCAATAAAAATAGGTGACTACAAACGCAGAGATATTGATGAGGCTGAAAGAACACTGTTGGGAAAAAGAATATATTCTCAGCTTGGAATTTGTAATGATAATACAGCTTTTCTACCCAAATGGGCAGCACCATAGGCTGTGGCTTTCAGCAAGCATTCTGTTAACATAAAGAGAAAGAGGATTCCATGCTAACTCATTCCTTACTCCGCTTTCTGGCTTCAGTGAATTCCTTTGCCCTCTGTGTCCAAGGAGCTCACACCTGCCTGTTAAGAAGGTGTTGGATCAATGTCATATTGTTGCTTGGATTTGGTAGCCGTGGGTCACCTTCATCAAGTGCTTACTTTGGGGCAGGAGATGCTCTTTCATTTGGTTTTCAGCATACTTGTTACAAAAGATAATAAATACAGAAGTTCGCTACCTTATCACAGGGTTCAGTTTAAATTTTCATACTGAAACATTGTCCCTCACTCACACCAAAAATCTGGATTTGAGCAACTGCTGCCTTTTCAAATCAAGAATTAAAAGTAATCTTTCTCTTGGGAAAACTGTAAGAAATTGTATTAGAGATGTGATTTAAAGTTCTGTTGTTTTTTTCACATTTTTTCTTAGTACTACAATGATTATGGAGATATCATTAAGGAAACCCTGAGCAAAACCAGGCAAATTGATAAAATCCAGTGTGCAAAGACACTCATTCTCAGTTTGCAACAGGTAAGAACATTGATTTTTTTGTTAGAAATGCCTCACTGCAAAAAGCCCTGGCCAGGATTTCCTCTGGTGCACTTTACAGGGAAGCAGAAATGCTGCAGTTCCTTAGGACATTTTCTTCGTTTTCCTGCTCCCCGGTTCAGGCTGTCACTGCTCCTTTGTCTCAGTAATCTCTGTCTCCATAGGCCCACACTGGCAAAGTTTGGGCACATAAAAATGGAAGGGAGGGAGAGAAGAGCCTTGGAGGCAATTTGGTCCAAGCTGATTCCTGGCATTTGTTTATTGATCCCGAGTCAACAGGAAGAATTAGAATGGCTTTTTCTTCTTAGCATTTGCTGAAGTAATGCATCTTCCTTATACTTTGTCTGAATACTGATGAATTTTTCAAATTTCAAGCTAATTAAGTCTTCAATAGTGTTAGACATGTTTTTCCTGGAAAAAATTGCTTTACATCAACTGTAAATTACTGTCTGGTGATGAAATCTATCAGCCAGCAGCACGAAGTGCACTAAATACCACTTAGGCCCTTGAAGTACCAGCTATAGCCATTTCACAGATAAATTACTTTCACTAATTAGATGCTCTCAAATGAGCTGGACTTCCCAAAATTCCTTCCTAAGGTTTTTCCTATAGCAATCTGGAAGCTGAGAGAGATCTGTGCAAACCTGAGAAGAACAGATGTACTTCCAGAAGAATCAGGGAGTGTCAAAGCCACTCCTGTCTGTAAAACTTGGAGAGGAGGAAGCCACAGATCAATCAGCCTGACAAAATTCTGTGAAAAAGTAATGAGGAGCTCTTTGCAAGTGCCTCAGTGATAGGTAGCAGCCAGTGTAGATTTGTCAAGGAGGAATCCTGTCAAATTAAGCTGCTGTCATTAATTACATGGTAACAGAGCTTGTGGAGATGAGAGAAACAGTCGCTGTAATGCAGCCTGATTTAATATCATCACTGGCATTGGCTGCCAGGGTACTCTCAGCAGTGTAAATGGCAGTGCCAGGAGAGGTGGAACTGGCTGGAAAAGCACTGAGCACTCCAATACTGTGCTGGGAGGGCCTTTGAGGCAGCAGTGCTGGGCAGACAGACACTGAGGCTACAGTGGAGGAGCTGAACTTTTGATCACCAAATTCAAAGCACCTCCTGATCTGATGGGTGATGGAAGTGCTTAAGAGAACAGCAGGAGAATGCAGGACCTTCTTGATGAGTTGGGAGAATAATAGATGGGATTCAGGGAAGGTGGGTGCAGAATTCCACCCAAATAACTCCACACAAGTACAAGATGGGGGACAGCTGGCAAACAGCAGTGGGGCAGAAGAAATTCTGGCAAGTGACAGGGACTATGTTATGTCTCGTCACAAAGAGACAGTCACAAAGGCCATTCTCAGATGGAAAAGGTTTAGAGCTCAAGTCTTTCTCAATAAAAGTGTCTCACAGATATCAACCTTTGAACTCTCTCTGCAGCTGTTCAATGAGCTTGTTCAGGAGCAAGGTCCCAACCTGGACAGGACATCTGCCCACGTCAGTGGCATTAAGGAGCTGGCCAGGCGGTTTGCCCTCACTTTTGGCTTGGATCAGATCAAGACAAGAGAGGCTGTGGCCACACTACACAAGTGAGTGGTGGTAAATAAACTAGATTTTTATACTACTTCAGATTGAACTTCTTGTTTGGCATTTCCTTTCTAGAAGCACATAATCTCAACAGGCCATGGAATAATTATATATTTTTTTCTGCTTTTAACTGGAGGGCTCTATATATATGTAGGTAGAAAGGAAACGAACTAGCTGCTACATAATTATTTCTTGGAATTTACTGACATGGCTATGTTTCTTTATCTCAGGTGGGTTGTGTCTAACAACTGAGGATGGTTCTTTGTTCCACACCACTGTGGATTCTGGAGGAACCAAGGGCTTTTATAAAAAGATACTCCAAAAATATTTTGGAAATAATTTAAAGTGGACTTTATGCAGCTGCTGCATAGAAAAGTGTGGAAAGGTTCTGGTAAATTTAAATTATGACTTTGCCATGCCATAGAAAAGTTCAGGTGCTAAGGTCTGCAGTCTCAGAGACTCAGTTGGCTTGGTCAGGATGCACCAGATACTGTCCTTAGCCAGGCAGGAGTCAGGGGACACTCATGCCTTGCTGGGTGAGGAAAGGGAGAGTGTTCTCTTTAGTCCCAGATGACAAAGCAGAGCCGAGTGTGTCCCTGCTCTGGGATCTCAGTTCTCTGCTCTGGCTGCAGAGGTTGGCTCCTGTTTGATCTGACACATTCCATGGAACTTCTGCCCCTGGGCTGCACCTGCCCAGTTCCCACACTGGGCAAGTACTCTCTTACAGGGACTGGCCATGTGCTTATCTGAATGGGGGCCCTCACAAATCCACAGGGAACTCTGCATTCCCCTTTGTCCAAAAGCAGCTGTTTGCTAGTAGTGGGGAATAACATTGTAATGGGATCTGAGGGTACAAACAGTTTCATCACAGCTCAGATTTGGGGCAACTTGTTTGGTTTCCAAGTTGGCTTTTTTTACTTTCTTTTTTGATGTTTTGGGGTGGGTTTTTTTGTTTTCTAGTGCAAATGTCTGAACATGTTAATATTTCTGTACTATAGAGATGGCATAGAGTTTGCCTTCAAATACCAGAATCAGAAGGGACAAGACTATCCACCTCCTAACCTTGCTTTCCTGGAAGTGCTTAGTGAATTTTCTTCCAAACTCCTGCGACAGGACAAAAAGACTGTGTAAGTAAAGCTCTGTTTTCTTCCTCGGCCTCTGTTAATCCCTGCAGTGGGGGTTTCACCTCTCTCCTTTGAGGTTTCTACAATCTGACCAGGGCTGCAGAAAGTCCCTTTGAGACATTTCACATATATACTTACTTGTCCTTTTATGTCTTAAATAAAAATAAATGGGAAAACAAAAATCGGACCCACTAATGAGGTGAATTTGAGATATTCCAAAACAATGTTTAAAATTTCTCATGGGGTGTTGAAAATAAAAAGTCCTTTTTTAGGCTAGAAGAAAAGAAATTAAACATTAGCAGTGCAGGGAATTTACAGGCTGTCACTACTGCAGTAACAGCTGTTTCCATCGTATATTTACATAAATTGTAAACCTATACTTGTTTCTTTTAATATATTGGAAGAGGACTCCATTCAAGCATCAGCCAAGCACTATGTTCCCAGTGTGGAACTGAATTCACTGAATGACTTTATGACCAGTTTAAAAGTGCAGTTGCCAGATCTGCTGATTTATGATTGTAGGTGTCTTTCCAGTCAGTTCTGTGACCACACTGAGTGTTAGTCAGAAAGATCAGCTGGAATGACCTCAACTGACTCTGTCAGACCTTGCTGTGAAGATTTGACAGATGTTTTTCTGTAAAGACATTTCTTTTCTGTTAGGGTTAACAACTATGAACATTACAGCTTTATCTGTTCAGTAAGAAATGCATCTTGGTTAACTTTGTATATTTTTTAATGTGTACACACTTGAACCAATTTCATTTTTTCATTGTATCAATAATTTCTCAATTCAGCAAACATTGTAAGACAAATAGTTACATGAGCTAGGGAATGGGATGATCCAGTTAGGCTGTCTTGGCACTCCATTTGTGCATCCGCTCTTCATTGTTATATCCTGGAATCTTGTCAACCTCTATCCTGTTCTTCAGGACAGAAATTAAGTATAACAGGATTTTATAGCTTGTCTTCCTAGCTGAACAGTAGATTCTCCTGCATGGTGGTCTCAGTGCCATTGGCCTGTTTCCTGTTGAATTTAGTGAAGTTTAGCCTTTCAGCAGAGTCATCCCTTCCACAAGTTTCCAGTGTCTGATATTTAAAGTTACATCATGCTGTCTCTTACAGCTTCTGTTAACCTGAGCCTTCAAGTGAAATTCAGTTCTTTGGGACGTATTGTTCCTTCACCTTGTTGCCATTTAAATTCTTTCTTAAAGGTTCCCCTGCCCACATATACAGCTGCAGGCTGCTCCTGCAGGACTATAAGGATTGCTGTGGTGGAGTATCTATACCTGAGCTATTGACCTCAGCTGAATCTGATGATCATGAAAAGAAATTGGTCCTTTATGGCCTGATTCCTCTGATCTGTGCCAGACTATGTGTTGGGATGAGTTCAGCCCTGCCCCAGACCCTACAGGCTGTGGTGACCATGACACAACTTGCTGACATGTAGGGATTCTGTGGAGGTGGCTCCACTCCTGCCCAGAGTGCTCCACTAACAGGACAGGACTGGGAAGCTGGATTTGCCCTTTCCTGCAGCTCCTCCAATCCATAGGGACCTCTCTCCCACCACAGGGGCTGCCTGTGTGCAGGAAGGTCCATGACCACCATCTGCTGGAGAATTCCAATTTTTGGATCACTTCCCTCCCTCCCTGCCCAGAGGCCCTCCCCAAACTCAGTAATGGCCTCTTGTCTGCAGCCAGAAGTGTCCTGGAGCCCCCAGTCTCAGGAACACATGGATGCCTACGTTTTCTAGTTTGGCTTCCCTGCCTCAACCCCCAAATCATCCACCCCAGAGCCTGCAGGTGTTGGGGCATTGCTCCAGAACACCCTTCCTGGCAGGGTCCAGCACACGCTGCTGTTCCACAGGGCTTCTGCTTCCTTCTGCTGGGCTGCTGGCTTTTTTCTTTGTGGCTAGAAAAGGGAGAAGCTTCCAGTTTGAGAGTGAAGCAGCAACATTGATTTAATTTAATTTTCCTAGCCTGTTAATATGGTTACTCATTTTATGAGTAACTTCAGAACTGGTGATAGCCATTTATGGATTTATTCTAATCTATGTATTTCACATAAAGCTGTTCATGTAAGGTGCCAGACTCATACAGCTGGAGGAAAAAAAAATTGTACTAACACTGTTGCAAACCCATTAAGGCAGATTCAGGCAGGGAAATCCTGAGGAACTAATGCAGGACAGAATAGAGGAGATTGTCCTTGGAGGCACTTATTTCAATTTATTTATCTCAAAGATACAGTTGACTTAGTCTGGATACTAACTATTGAGTGTCAGATGAGTCAGAGCCTCAGCATAGTGTTCTCACTTGTGGAAATTCAGAACTGATAAGAACTGGCAGTGTGAAGCTCCCCCAAAATGCTCAGCAGAAGATGTCTCAAGTTTGGCATCCAGGCAGGAGAGAGCTCCCAGGTGGTGTCATATTCATCCTTCACAATTTGACCATAAACATGCAATCTGGTTCTATAAATACAAACTGGAGGCAGAAAAACTTCTTACTTTCCAAGACTCTTCTGCAGGTAGGTTCTCTAAAGCCGTGAAGCACTCAAGTGGCACAATTTGGTACCATAAAATAGAGAATACACAAAGAATTTCCCATTACTGCCAGGTTTGGGAGTTAATATACACATGAAAAAGGGAAGGAGGAAGCATTGACAATATTCAATAAAACAGCAGACAGGAACCTGCTATTTCTTGAACAAAGTTACATCATTCATTGAACCAAAAAACTGATGTGATTGTTACCCTGGCATGAGCAGTGTGTTCTGGAGCCTGTTCCGGAGCAAGCTCCAAGCTGCCATGAGCTAACAGAGGAAATCCCTGCTTTTCCAAGTGGAATATGTGAAGCTGACTCCCACTGCTGCCAACCTGGCAAAGTGGTATTAAAGGAAATTGTGACTGAGGGGTGCAGGAAGTGATGCTGAAGTACCTGAGTTCTCTTACCAAACTTCTGAATGTTTGGAGCCTGAAACATACTAGAATTACATTTAAGTAGATTTGCATGTTCATTTTAGAGGTGACTTCTAAGTTCATAATTAAATAATCAATGGAAAAAGAAAACAGTTCCTATGGCCTCCAGACCAGGAAGGAGTTGTTGACTCCTCTTTTCAGTTAACACTTGTGCATTGGACTTCTCATGGCAGTGGACCAGGTCTTCAAATTTTTTATGGAAAAATAAATGCTTGCATTTGACTAACCCATTTCTCTTGTTCCAGGATGCCAAAGGACATCCTGCATCCTGGCAGCAGCAGCTCTGATGCAGCCTGGCTGCTGACACAGTGACCATATCCAGGTGTCTGTGGGGAGATTGCTGCTCCTCTGTACTCCCTGTATTTCTTTTCCAGGCACACCTACTTGGAGAAGTTCTTGACAGAGCAGATGATGGAGAGAAGAGAGGATGTTTGGCTGCCGCTGATCTCGTACCGGAACTCGCTGGTGACGGGTGGCGAGGACGACAGGATGTCTGTGAACAGCGGCAGCAGCAGCAGCAAGGCCTCCTCCGTGAGGAACAAGAAGGGCCGACCCCCCCTCCACAAAAAGAGAGTGGAAGGTTGGTGAGGGGGTGCAGGGCTTTGTCATTCTGGACACTCAGGAGAAGAGGGATTTACTATTTAATTTAAAATTTACGATTTTAGTTCATGCAGAAATAGGTGATACATTCTGGATGTGGCCAGAACCAAGGCAGCTGTTGTACAGATTCTGTCAGGCCTGGGCATGTCTTCAGGGGAAATACCACCACAGCTCCCTGTTCTTGTTTGTCTTGTCCAAAATTGGCAGTCAGAACTGTTTAGTTCCATTATGCTGGTGGAAGAGGTGTTTGTGAAGTTACCTGCTCTTTCTCACTCCTGGATTGCTGGGATTCTGCCTGTGCTTCCCTCTGGACAGTTGTTAATTCTCAGGGATTTGGAGCAGATTGCAGGCAGAAATTCTGGTAACAGATCTCTGTTGTTGCAGAGCCATTAGGGAACATTAAAAAGACACAATTTTTGTTTAAAATCGTATTGCTATCTAGTGTTCTCTGCATTTACTCTTTCTGGGGCCTCCAATATGTTCATCAGGAATCTGGCTGTGATAGCAAATTTCTTACAAGGCTGCATCTGTTCCTGGTCAATCTGTACAGGTGATGTAGTGTGGACTTTTGTGAATACTAATTTATTGTTCCACTATGCAGTAGATGTGAGTAGGATTTAAACTTCAAAAGCTTTTCCAAGGTCAGTATCTATGACAGTAACCCCTCAGTAAGGAATCTAGTGCCCATTTGCCTGAATATACAGCAGTTTCCCAAAATACTCCTCAAAAGTTTGCCCATACAGCCAGGTCCATTCTCCACTGTGGTTTATGTTGAGCAGTCCCTGCACCAAGTCCTTTGATTTCTCACAGCCAGCCTCGAGTGTAGGTACATAAAACACTGGCTTCTTTCTTCAGGCACTGGTTTTCTTCTTTCAGGATGCCAACATTTTCACAGAATTCAGCTACTGAGGTTTTCTTCTTTCCTCTTGTTGCCATTTTCATTCTATTGTATTTATTTTTCTTTTTTTTTTTACCCTGGGAGGTGTAGTAGCATCTTTGCTTCCCAGTAAGGCAAATCTCAGTACTAAGATGCAGTTTTTAGGCTTTGCTTACCTCATACTCTTTTGTGTCACCCTCTTTCAGTGATCAATAGAAGGGAGAATTGATTTCCAACACTTCCCATTTGAGAATCTCCTTTTTTTCTGTTTCTTTAATTTCCACTCTAAAAGATCTAGAACAGGAGAAAGGTCACTGCAGAAACTACTGTGGCATCCAAGAACCATATCCAGTCACTTCTGGTTCCTTTCTCACCTAAATCCAGCACAGCCCAGCTTGGAGAACATTCCCTCTTGCTTCTGAGAGGAAATGTGCTCTGTGACATTTCTTGACAATTCCTTAAGAAAATCAATAGGTTTTTAAAAAATAATCCCTAATATAAAAATTATTCAAAAATAAATTTACAAAATAGACAGCTTTTCAGACAACGTTTATGCCTAAAGGGTAGTAAAAGGCAATAGAAGAATGAACAGATCCAAAGAGATCCCCATCTACTTTTCTCACCACACATTTCCTGTTAGTAAATCTGTGATCTTGTCATCTCTGTTGTCATCTCCTGTCTTTCACTCCAGTAACAGAATTTTTCCTATGTGTCTCTGGCTGCACTCTTCCTGCTCTAACCCATTCTCAAGTCCTCCCTCCTCTCTGCTTTGCTCCCTTCCCAGCATAAGCACAGGATCCCAGCTAGACCTTCAGTCATGTTTATCTCATTTTTATCGCTGAGTAAAGTGTCCCCTTCCTACTCCAATTCAGTGATTCTGACAATTCTAAAGATCTGGACTGACCAGATTTTGGGGTTTGTGCTCCACATTGTCTTAGTGTTTAACTGTGTCTTGTTTGCTATAGGTACATGAAATTAACAGTCTCCAATTATAAGCTCAGGAACTGGCAATTACCTTGGTTGTTTTTGTTCAAGATACCCAGCAGTTGAGGCTGTGCTGCAGTATGACTTTGTTTGCAATGGGGTTTGTGTTTGTTCCCTTTAAATTGTTGTTATTGCTGGGAATAGGGGGGTAATAATACTTAAAAGAACAGAATCTAAAATCAGAACTGAAAATGTTACCGTTCCAAGCATTTATCCTGGTGATCCCTTAGTGCACACTTGTTTGAATACTGCCCTGCATGTGGTCAGAAATTAGCAGTGATTTCAGTGTTCTCTCTCTAGATGAGAGCCTGGAAGGCTCCTGGCTGAACAGGAATGAGAACATCCATACTCCAGGGGCACTGCAGGCACCTCAGCTCACCTCCACTGTCCTGAGAGAGAACACCAGACAAATGGGAGAGCAGATCCAGGAGCATGAGTCGGAGCAGGGATCTGAACAGGATTTTTTACACAAGTAAGTTGGAATTTCAGCATCAAATACAGTCAGCCAGGCAAAGGAATTGCTTGTGGTTTATAGTGATATTCTTAGCCTGTGGCTTCAGAGATGCAGTGTTGATTTGCAAAGCCACCTGGAAATGCCTTGACTACAGCTCAGCAATACTTGGATTATCTTCAGGTCACAGGAAAAATATCTTGTAATGAAATAATAGTAGAAGTTCTTTATGTTAAATCTCAGAGCATAGCCATGCAGTTCTGGTTAAATCCTCCTAGTCCTTGTGTCCCAACTGGGTGGAACTGTTTCTTTGGAAGACCTGTACATACTCTCTCTTCTTTCCCCCTTCCTGATAGCAGAGTTAAGGTTCTCCTGACACCCTGACTACTTCCTTCTGGATTTCCAGCTGCTGTGCTAGTAATTCCTGATTTGGGTAATTGCCCTAAATTATATATTCTTTTTGTCCCTTTGCTCCCATTTTATCACCTCCATTTAGAGAGAAAACATTGGTTGGTTTCTGTCAGTGGTGGCTGTGGGTGTTGGCAGCAGGTGTTGCCAGGATGCAGCAGGTGAGCACAGGCTGGTTGTGGGTCACAGGTTGGTGACACTGGCTGGACACAGCAGCTCAGCCCAGGTAGAGCCCAGGTCACATCTTCCCAGAGCATCTTTCCTCCTTGGTCCCACGGCTAGGGAGGGATGCACTCATGGCTCCTACTTGCCTTTCTGAAGTCAAGTATTTACCTCCTATCTTCTGCCTTCCCAGGTGGGGCCATAACTTCAGGTGATGAGGAAGATGTTGAGGCTTTCAGTTACTCCTTAAGAATTTTCTACTCTGCAGTAAAACCAGACTAAACTAAGAACTTCCTTTCTGTCCCTCTTTGATCCCACCTTTGGCCCAGCTGAGTCTGTGACCATTCCATTACTCTGGAAGTGGGACAGCTTCCCAGTGCTGTGGTTTTCTCTCAAGCCTGATGAGCAGCCAGCCTTAAGCTGTGTGAGACCCTTCCGTGTTCCTGGGGGAGCTGAGCAGGCTCTTGCCCAGCACTCGAGCCCCCTTTTTCTCTGTCTCAGGCTGTGCTGTGAGCACAGAACGGTGAGCCAGGGCAGAGAGCACCTCTCTTCTCCCTGCAAGATTCCAGGTGGGAGTTCCCAGTGTGAACTGACAGTGGGGAATGGGAACCCTTCCTGTTCAGCCCTGGTTGGCTGTCACATGTCCTCCAGGTCAGCTTAGGAGAGCTAACACTTGCCACAGCTACAGAGCTGCTTGAACTGGCAGGTTAATCATATTCAGGTTTGGTTCTAGGCTGTTTTCCCATGGGTTATCCCAGTTTATCCTGTCAGTCTTATTAAGGTGCAAGGGTGCATAGTACAATAAAATCTGGTGCTGCTCCAGAAGAGCTGCACACAGTTTGCTGCTGTTTCCTTGTGCTGCACCACACAAACTGAAGTAGAGGCATTGTTGGTTGATGGCATCAGCAGTGCAGCCTGGAAGGTATTTACACATGGGTGAGGTACTGGCCCTTAAGTTGATCAGGGTATTAGTGTAAAAAACATTTGGTTTTCATGTTGTGTAACATTTTTGTCAGTTACTATTTTGAATCCATTCTTGGTCATATTTTGCCTCATCTGCCACAGTGAAGTACTATTTAATAATAATAAACTTTAGAGGTGCTCCTGCTCCAGGTGCCTGCCCCTAATGAAGGAACAATGTCAGTGTTTCCATACCTGTTTTTATTGCAACAGTTAATTGATTTTTTTGTGCACAGTGAGAGGAGACAGACTCTGGAAGGGAATCCAGAAGATGGGTACAATGATGAATGGAAGTTAATTATCCTAATCTGAAGCATGACCAGACACAGAACTTGAGAGAGAAACTGCCCCAAAATAGGCAGCTCAGAACTATTACTGCTGTCAGTCCTAACTTAATCCCTGTGTGTCAGTCCCCAGATGCAGATCTCGTGGCTGGGCCAGCAGAAGCTGGAGGATCTCAATCGAAAGGACAGGACAGGAATGAACTACATGAAAGGCAGAAGTGGCGTAAGGCACGCAGTGTAAGTGCTCACAGCCTGCTGCCTTCAGCAGAACCATGTGCAGGACAGCACAGTGAAATGTTACCTTTCCTGCTGGTTGCAAATCATTTCTGTGCTGTGTCACCCTTGTGGTAAAGGCAGGGGGGACAGTTTGTAGTGCTGGGATGGCTCCAGCCCAGCACTGCCATTCTCTGACTTGTGGCCAGGCCCGGTGACAGGGTGCAGTTCCCCATGCCTCTGTCCCAGCCTTCAGCTGCTTCCATGTCAGAGGGGTTCCATGATTTGTGTGCTGTGTAATTCCCTGTGAGCTCTGCCCACGAGCCTGTTCCTGTGTCTGTGCTCTCCATCCTTTTTTTGCCAAGGTGTGTGCAGTAATGGAGGAAATACACGTGGGTGAACACTGGGGTACCACATGCTCTGTGCTGATCCCACTGAGTCCTTCAGCAGTGGGGCTGGAATCCTTACAGCCTTTGGAACTGGGCTTGAAGGCACTGCTGTAGTCTCAGGGTTTTACCAGTGATCCTGGCAAACAGTGTCACTCCTCCTTGGTAAAAGGGCAGGCAAACACAAGAGGAGTTACTGCCCTGTTCTTGTTGGGGACAACTTTAACTACTGGTCATAGTGCTGTCAGTGGGACTTGCTGCTTTAGCCTGGGCCAGGGCTTGGGGGAGGGGAGTTTATGTGCAGTTTTCCTCTTGTTGGTATTACAGAGAGCCTGTTGGCTTTACCCTCAGCATCAGGGTTTGAGTGAAGGCATTAAATGATAGGATTTGAGCATTCTTTTCAATGACAAAGATCAAGGCTGTGAAATTTTTCTGTCTGGAAATGACTCTCCCTTTATTTAATCAGACGAGGTCTAATGGAAGATGACGCTGAGCCCATCTTTGAAGATGTAATGATGTCCTCACGAGGCCAGCTAGAGGACATGAATGAAGAATTTGAGGACACAATGGTCATTGATCTGGTCAGTAAATCTTATCAATGGCAATTTAAAACAGTTAAAAGCTAATTTTAAAGGAATTTTAGAAGTGTAAACAAAAATTTTCAGAATTTTGAGCCTGGCCTCTGGTTTTCTGAATGTTAGAGTGAAAATGATGTGAGCACTTCCCAGAGCCTCCAGCTGCAGGCTCAAGCCCAGGGTGTTTGTTCCACAGCCACACAAGGAGCATTGCTTTGTGCTCCTTCTCCCCAAGGCTCTGTTCTTGGGCAGCTGCAGGCAGCAGCAGCATCACACACCTGTCACTTGTCAGCCTGCAAGAATCAGGTTATGAGTTACAGGCTGTGCTAACACAGCTCTTCATGCAGCCACAATGTGTCAGACTGGCACAGCCAAGGGGTCCCTCTCTTTCCCTTTCCTGGTTAGTTTGATTTTGAGGAGGTGGGCTGGACAGGGGATCCTTACTTGAGGTCTCAGTAGGGCACAGCTAGAGTCCTGCTGGCACAGCGGGAGGGAGCTCAGGCACTGGTGTGTGGGTGGGAGTTTCTTCAACAGGAACTGCTCCCAAACAGGTCCCATTATCAGTGACAGCCTCCGTCCCTTCCAGTACTGCGCTGATTGCTGGGAGAAGTTCCTTGCAGCGCTTAGAACCTTACCTGGCCTCCCCTCTGGAATGACTGCTCCCTTGTAAAATGGGATAAAGGAGCAGCTTGCTTTACACACCTCACCATTTTTATGCCTTTCTGTTTCTCCTTTCACATCCGAACAACAAGCCCTAGATTATATTAGGACTGGGTTACAGTCTCTTGGGAAAGGCTACTGCATACTCAGGTTATTGCCAGCACTCATGTGATTACCAAGTAAGTAACATCCAAGGCAAGGAAAGGAAAGAAGTGATCGAGCTGGTGAGGCTTACATTTACTCTTGTGCTCCTGAGGAAGGAAACCATCAAGGGTTTAAGCCTCAGAAATATTTCAGTATCTTCAGTACCCTTTTTATTGGTAAATCCATTTTTGACTACGTCGGAGTTCAAGTTTCACTATGAACGTTGAAATATAAAGACAGTTAAGAGGGAGTTTGTGTGCAGTCTGGCCTAGTCCCAATACAGAGACATCCTTAAGTCAGCAAGAGCCTTGGGCAAGTCCTTAACTGTGAGCACAGAGTTAGAATTAGAATCCCTCAGCTTTTACCCCATTCTTTCAATAACAAAGAATTGAGGGAGTGCTGTCCTGTCAGGGCCCACCTTTTCCCCAGAGGTTTTGTGGCACTGGGAGGGAAGGTGAGGGCAGGCACAGGTGGCCCTGTGGCCGGCAGGGCTCCCTGTGCCCCGTGCTGTTCCAACTCCCGTTGTTACAGCCGCCATCGCGGAACCGGCGTGAGCGCGCGGAGCTGCGGCCGGACTTCTTCGACTCGGCAGCGATCATCGAGGATGATTCAGTAAGGCCTGCCTTGTTGTGCTTGCTTTCAGCTCTGCTCTTGTCCCAGCCCACGTAACCACTGTCTTTTCCCCCCTTTTCCAGGGATTTGGCATGCCCATGTTCTGAAGTCTGGCGAAGACCTTTTACAAACTTGGAACTCTATTGTTTAGAGCTAGAGGCCTATATACTGTGATAGCTTGTATGAAAACCACATTTTTGATGTGATACGGTTTGATTTTTAACCAAATGATTGAGGTCAACCCCTTGGTGTAGGGACGGAGAGAAGAGGAGCTTCTTAATGACACACGGGAATGTTGGCCAATCTAGTCACCTCAGAAGGGCTGACCTAAAAAATCATTTGTATCCCTGTTCTTGACTGTCCTAATACGGATTTTTTTTTTTTCTGTATGAGGAGGAAGTTTTAAATTGTTAAGACAGCTGTCAAAATAAACACTGTTCTACATATGTTTTCTGAAAACAACATTGAGTGAAAACAGAACTTTTTAACTTTATTTTTCTGCTGTACAATTTAAAACAGTTTTAACATTTGCCTTTTTATGTTTTCAAAGCTAGCCATTTTTATTAAACCTATGCCTATCAGCCACTGACTAGCAAGGCTGCTGTAAGCAGGTCGTTCTGGCTACGGAAAAGTGTTTTGGAACACACTGGATTTGATTAACATTATGGTACGCTTATGTCCTCTCATAGGCATGGAGAAGAACACTCTCAGAGAAGAGGTTAGAATTCTAATGATGTGCATCTCTGCCAAAAAATTTCAGATTCTGATATGATAAACCCAGATTTTATACTCTTGAGAAGATTTATTTTTATTTATAATGGGACATAAAGTAAGAGATGTCCATGAAGCCACTTTTCCAACAGATGCTGTGTAACATTCATTTTATATAGCACATGGGGACACAAAAACAGTAAATTTTCTATTGGTACTTGCTCTGTGCATTTTTAGCAACTTATACCAGCAAATAAAGTATTCTCAGTAAAACACACAAACGGTTCTCAAGTAATCACTTTGCTGTTTTTACTACCTACTTCAAGCCTGCCAACACAAGGTACATAAACAGCAACTTTCCTATTAAAAAAAAAAAATAGTTCAAGGGTGGGGGAAAGGATCACTTTAGCATACTAAAAGTAATTTTAACTGTACCATAAAACAGAGTCTACTTTCCATGCCGTAAATACCCTTTTCTGCTATTTTTGTAAATTAATTTTGCCAGTTAGAAGTACTGTATGTGCTGCATAGAAATTTGTGCTTAGATGGTGAAGTTCTTAAGCTTACAATGGAATACAGCTACATTTTCAGTGTTAACTGTGCATATTGAGAGTAATTCTTTGGAAAAAAAAGATATGATTTTTCAAAAAAGTTAAAAACGTCAAAAAAAATTCCAAAAAACCCCCAAAACATTCTCAGCTAATTCATTGTACTAAGATATTTTTCAATGTCTTCAATAATTTGGAATTTCATTATGCTTCGATTTTATGACTCGACATAGTAGCTGCTCCTTACCCAGCCTGGCCTGGCACCAGCAGTGCTGGCCTTCCACAGCTCCAGATCTCCAACAATTGGCCCCAAAACCTTTATCTTTCTGCACTCAGTAGCAGTTGAGATACAAAGCAGACTGACCCACTTGGAGCACAGCAGTTCCAGAGGTGCTTTAGTTTTAGCAGCTGCAGAATAATCACGGAGCTTTTTTCTGTTTCGAGCTTACTGGACACCAGCCCAGCCCCTCAGTGCCCAGCATGGGCAGAGAAAGAGCCCAAATTCACCCAGCCCAGCACCTCACCCAGCTGAGCTTGGCTCTCACAACACGTGCAGTTCTCAGACACGGTTGCCAAAAATGTTTGACCAGGTAATTCAGCCATTCCTTAGTGTGGGTTGGGGATGTATTGATCCCAAGAAGTAGCTGGAAATTTATAAACCCTCTTACCTCCTTCTGTGCACCCCCACGGCCTGGGGGCAGGAATGGCTGCAGGACCTGTCCCAGGATCACTCTGTGAGCATGGTGGCAAAACAGATGCTGCCCAGTTTGAGTCAGAGTCTCAGACAAACCTTGTGCTTCACAGTCCTCTGTGTGGAAAACTGATTCCTAATTTAACATTGTAGAATACTGTATAACAAACATTTATTATCATGGTACCTGCAATGGGTCTCCAGTTCAGTTTGCAGTCAATAGGTTTTTGTATTATGAGTGTCTCCTTGATTGGTTTTGCTAGTAATTCTGTAAATTGTACATTTACAATATGAGGTTTTTTTTTTTTCCTTTTGTACAATTTAAAACTGATGCTTCACCTTTCATTTAATAAACTATTCAAAATCATGAGTATGATGAGCACCCTCTTCACTATAGTTTTCTTTTAAGTGCTTGGTTGGACCATCACATTTTGTCATCCCATTTAGTAGTAGGAATTCAAGGAATTATTGAAGGCAAAACTGACAGGTAGCTTTCATGTAGTCCAGGCTTCACAACCAGACCTGTACCCACTCCCTAAATCACTCAGCCTCAAGAGGGACGGAGACCCTCTCTGGGCTTCTTCCTCCCCTCCACCATGGTGTGGTTTGGTTGTGGGGGGTAGAGGGTGGTTAACATGAAATTGCTGTGAATCTGGAAAGGGCCCACACCAGGTGCAAGTGCCACACTGCTAAAACTTACAATTTCTTGAACTGCCACAAGGTTTGAGAAGAATTTCTCTCTTCTGCCCTATTCATCTGAAGTGACCTGGAATCTCTGGGAAGAAACTGCCATGGGAAAAGCTTGAAAGCGCTAACAACCAGCTGGGCTAAATGAAGTTTCACAGGTTCCTGAAACAAAATGTCCATGTTATTCCCATGTCTCAAGGAGCAAGGTGCTATTTTTGTCCAACCCATGAACGATTTAATCTCTGTAGTGCTAAAGAAAACTGACTGGTTTATCACCTGCCCCACTTCCTAAGGAAAAATCACTGGAGTCAGGAAAAGGAACAAGATGCAGCAGCTGAGGCACAGGGATGATTCAAAGTCTCAACTACTCCCAAGACAGAGCCTGAAAGCTCAGTCTCCAAATGCTTGTAAGTTATGGCAACTCCTGCTGCATGAGGAGCACAGTAAGTACCTTGCCTTGCTGCTAAGTTCAAGGGCTGTGCACGGTTGACAGGATTTTATTTTGTACCTCTTGTTTTTTTTAGATGGCTGGACTTTGAGGAAATTCTCAGAAGCCTGATGAGAGCAGCTTTCAAGCCTGTTTCCAACATGTCCTGGTACAGCAACTGCCTGTTTGGAAATGGAGAGGACTTTAAAACCCAATTCTTGTGCTGGCAAGGGCTGGGAGAGAGGATGGAGTCTATAGCAATACTGAGGATAGGAAACACCTAATAAAGCTATACTTTTCTCTTTATGACAAGTGGATTTCTCATGGAGTGTCTCCTTCTGACTCTGGGCAGGCTGATGAAGCTGTGTATGTATCCCTTCACCTATCAGAGCTTCTGCTTCTAAACCACCTTTATCTTTGAAAAATCTTCTTGGGCATGATAAACCCTTACAGGTGTGCTCACAGTTAACTAAGAACTCCCACCATAGCCATGACACCCAAAACAGTAACATTTCGATTTACCTTCCCCTGTTGCTGTAGTGGCCTCTGTTCCCTGTTCCTGCTGAGACACAGACATGTAGGCTCATGCAGCTCCCCTGAATATGCTGCAGCCAGGACAGCCAGTGTGTCTGCAACCTAAAGGTGCTGCCTCCCATGCATCCAAAACCCTGGGGACTTGGGACTCCTACTTGAAATGCTCCTTTTATATTGTGCTTTTAGATGATGTTTAGCTGTTGTTTTTCCCCTCTCCAGGCTCAGACTCCAAGCTCCACAGCTCTACTCACTGCACTTTTCCTGGGAAGAGAAGCTGCCTGGGACACAGCTGTGCTACCTCTCTCCTCCTTCAGGCTCATGCTGGGGAGTGAGCAGCTGCAGTGCAGGTAGGAAGTTTCTGTCTCAAAACAAATGAGAGTTACTCAGCAGCCAGGTTACTACAGAGCCCCTCCCGTGCCTGGCAGCTGGTGCAGCAGCACTAAATGTGACAGTGGCTGTTCCTCACTGCCTTGGGGCTGCAGGAAAGTTGCAGCTTCTACTGAGCAGGTGAGCACAGGCCCACGGCTGAGCAGAGTAACACCTCCTGCAGTGGTTCCTGGTGAGGTTGGCAAATAATCCCAGAGAAAGGAGGCTGGAAGGGACCTCTGGAGGTCTGTGTTCCAGCCTCTGCTGAGGGAGGAGGGTTTGCATGTCCCACCAAAACTCCTATTTTTTGTCTGCTATCCTTAAGAGGGGGCTGGCTGTGCTTCCCCTGTGCCGCCCACCTTGTCGTGGGGCTCTGAGACCCAGCTGCTGCAGCCAGCAAAGAAAATCTGCCACAGGCCAGGCTAACAGGAACAAAACAACTGAGCCCAGGATCAGCAGAGCCTGGTCCCCAGGCACTGGAATCCCAAAGCTAGGGTTTTCCTCTCTTGAGTCAGTGGTGCAGGAAGTGGAGTCAGACACCAAGGTCTGTGGCCAGTGGAAAATCCTTGAACTCCACAGGGGTCCAACTTCCCAGCAACGGGAGGTGCTCAGCCCTACCTGAATGTTTGACCTTGAGCAATTAGTAACAGTTCACCTGCTGCAGACAGGCAAGGGCGAGTTGAGTATTAACCACCAAAAAACCCTTTGGTTTAGAGAGGTGAGCTGGTCAGACCCCCAAATTAAATATATAGTATGATTTATTGATGATTATTGGCAAAATCAAAATGAAAATAATTGTTTCTATTGCCAAGCGACCTCCATTAATCAGAGATTTAATCAGAACTCATGTTCAGGATGTCTCCCAGCATGGACAGCCCCTGCTCACCCTCACAGTGGGATGTTGGCATGTTTCTTCCAAGGACTGGACTGGGATTTACTGGCCAGTACGTCGAGGTCATGGCAGATGCGTGCGCGGGTGGTTGAAGGCTGGATGATGTCATCCACAAACCCTGCAAAAGAGTAAAACAAAAAAAAAACCTTAACCTGACCAACCATGAAGTGTTTGCCTCCCAGCCTTCTATATCTAGGCTAACCATAAGTTAGAAAAATCAAAACAATGGCTGGAATAAATAACTTCACAAGTCATAAATTATCTAAATTTAAAATAGCCTGAGAAGAAAACATTACTGAGTCAATTTTTAAATTTTAAGTATAACTTGCCTTTTAGAGCACAGTTACTGCTCCAAAACTGGAAGTAAAAACAGTGGAAAAACTTACTCTGAGAGTTCTGGAGAACATAACTGAACTGGGCCCTACTCTTTCTTCAGGCCACTGCTTTGCATCTAGGGCTGTATACCAGACTGTCAAAGCACCTGTGCTATAAAGGAAAAGGCTGAATTTTGAGACACTTTCTACTACCTACACAATTGAAAATGCACTTTGCAGAGCAGTCCCCACTTTTCACCAGGCTCTTTGCAGCTGAAGGTGTCTTGTGTACAGATGCTGTCCACATGTACAGGCTGTAGTTAAGCATCACCTTTCTAACTCAGATACAAGTATCTTACCTAAATAACTTGCTTGTTTACTCCAGGTTTTACTAAAGATTTACTCAATAGCACAACTTTATCCCCACGCAATGTGGGAGACAACCATACCTCTCATGGCAGCAGGGAAGGGGTTTGCAAACTTATCCACGTACTCCTCCTCTGCATCTGCCTCCTTTCCTCTGAAGATGATCTGGACAGCACCCTGGGAACAAAAGGGCTTGGCTCAGTGATAGTCCCTCAGCCCTCTGCCCTGCTAACCCTTGCCCACCTCACAGCCATGCCCTCCAGCTGAGGGCTTGGGAGCATCCCCGCTGCCTGCAGCGCCAGGACACCCCACGGTGCTGGCATCACACTGGTGCTGCTGGCAGGGCACTGCTGCACCACAGTGAGAAGGGCCTGGACTCACCTTGGCTCCCATCACGGCCACCTCAGCTGTGGGCCAGGCGTAATTCACATCTCCTCGTAAGTGCTTGGAGCTCATCACATCATAGGCACCCCCGTAGGCCTGTAACACAAACCAGGGCATCCACTCCAGGAGTGGCCTTGCAGTAGCAACAGCCTGCATTGCTCCTGCAGCATTTTCTATTCCAGAGACAAGCAGCTGGGACTGGATTTTACCTGAAGGAGAGCATCTCCATTTTGTGGCAGCAATCTCCTAGGAATAGACATACTTCAACTAGAGCCCCAAAAGAGCAAGGAAGAGGGCTGCTGGTGGTGACCAAGCCCATTCTGCAAGGCAGGCAGGGAGGGGGCTGTGTGTATCCAGACCATCAGGCCTCGACCTGCACCCTGCACATGCACACAAACCAACCAGACAGTGTCCTTCTGGAATTTCCTGGCCAGGGAATACAGCACTCGGGTTCTGCAGTGCTCCACTCGGGAACTGGAAATGCTCCAGACAGCAGTGATGAACAGATACTGCAGGGCTGCAGAGCAAACTGCAGTGCAGTCCCTGTCAGGACAGTACTGAATGGTGCAGCAAGGCTGCAGGATTGACAAGTACTGCATGGAAATACTAGGAACAATCAGAGAAGGCAAAAGAACAGAAAGGGTTTTTTTTATTTTTGCCATGATAAGCCAAAAGCATATCAGAAAAGCAAGCAGGAGGGGCAGAGCAGCCAGGAGAAGGCTAAGACTGTAATGCACCAGCCTGAGCTTATGGCAGTAGGGTGTTGGGTACCTTAGGAGAAAAGATGAGGTAGAGCATAGCAGAAGTCTGGGGAGGAAAAGAAGCCACATGAGTGTTCAGCCTGCAGGCACAGCAGAAAACAGATGCAGCCAGTGCAGGGTTTGCAGAGGGAGGCTCAGGAATCAAGACAGGAGAAAGCAGAATTGCTGCAAACAGATGGCATGTCTTTAGACAGGCTGGGTGACATGGGACAAGTACTTGAGTGAAGGCATTCCAGAGAGAAAGCAGGGAGCAGAAACTGGAAGTTTCAGAAGGGTGCTGAGACAAGAGGAAGGAAGGAAGTGGTCTGGGAATAGAAGAAGTGGCCTCTTGTAACGTTACACAAAAAAGTGTTACCAAATGTGACAAACAGATGTGACACTGATAGAAAGCACCACTGGGACAGACAGACAAAGTTTGGTTTAACTAAAATTGCCACTAGTGGGAAGAGGAACTCCATGGAATTTACCAGCTTACCTTTCTGGTGATGACAGTGATCTTAGGCACAGTTGCCTCTGCAAAGGCAAACAACAGCTTGGCACCATGACGTATAATCCCACCGTACTCCTGAGCCGTGCCTGCAAAGGACAAGGAATTGCTTCACTCCAGGGAATTCACACAAACGCATTATCCATCACCAGCAGCAAACCTCACCACCACCACAGCCATGTTAACACCCTGGAGAAGATCATGCCAGGCAGTGGTCTCTTCAAGATACTGAGCAACTCAAAAATCAGAGCAGCGGTTGTTTGTATGGAAGGTCACAGAAGCAAAGCTCAGCAGATGGGACCTTCCTAGGAACAAAATACACTCCAAGCATTTTCAAGACTCCAGATGTGACCAGCAGTAGGGAACAGCCTAGAGTCACTTCTCCAGAAACCTCGTCTTCCAAGCTCCCTCTTATCTAGACCACACAGAAAGCAGCTTGGCTGCTCTACCATACTGAGGACCTACCCTAGTTATCCCTCAAGGCAGCCCAGGATGATGGACCTTAAAAGACAGAGCATGAATTCCACAGCAGGTGCTTCTGGAGAATGATCATAGGCAGCAAACAGGAATGCAAGCCATCCAGGATATTCAACACCCTTCTGTCCCAAAGACAGGCGAACCTAATTGGACTTGGAATCAGCAATCCCTTGTAATTTATTTTTAGGACTATGAATTTCAGAACACTAGATGTAACTCTGCAATAACTTTATTGCAGTTTATTCACCTCTTGACTTTAGGTTTTAGCAAGATGATCCCAAATACTCCAAGAGGGTTTTCTGTAGATTTTTTTTTTTAAAATGTAAGTAAAAATTCTTTTGTGAGATTGAAGAACTTACTTGGTAGTGTGTTTGCTGGCCTAACATTACTGTTTCCCCTCAGGTGTAAGTTGAGTGTCTGAAAATTTCAGTCTACATTCACAAATGTCTGCTCTCAGCTGCAATTTCTCTTCTAGTTCTTGCCTTTCCCTGCAGCCACTGGGACCTGCCAAGCTCACAGACCCTACAGTGAGAATCAGAATAGCCAGGGGGATTCATCCCCAAGGAGCAGCCTGAGCACAGGTGGGACACCCAGCCCAGGCCAGGAGCTGGGGAGCACTCCCAGACCCCATTTCTAGTCACAGCCTGCTTCTAAAGCACACCTAGAACAGAGCAGCCAGTTTCCAGTGTAAGCTCATTCAGTCATTTGAAGTAATTTCAGTCATTTGAAGTATTTACACTTCCATGACCAATTAACAGAAACTCTTTTCTGGACACAGATTCAGTCCCAGCCTTGTTCTAAATATGTATTTTTATCCAGTTACAGGTTATGAACACCTTAAATGCCATCTCTGTGCACCCTTGTGAAAACTGGGGCTATTCAAGTGTTTGGGTCACTGATGCTGGGAGAAGTTTCATACACTGCTGTGAGCCAGTGTGACAGGTGTTTTCTCCTTCTGTACTGGACAGGGAGATGGGATGATAATGCCACCCTCAGAAATTGTTACTTTATCTGTGATTTCTAATGCTAATGGGCTAATCTTGTCAAATTCCTTAACACAACAGATCATAATCAAACCTCAGGTCTCATCTCTTCAGGTTTGTCTTTTTTTCCTTCCATTTACATGCTTTCAAACCAACATTCTATTGTGCAATATCAAGTCAGTACTTTGAATTAGCTATATGAAAATAGTTATTGGATTCTGAGCAACTGCTGAAATCTGGATTGCTGGAGTGTCCACTTACACCAAGCTACTGCCTGGCCCGTATCAGAGGAGGAGGCTGAGCCTACACTGGGGAGAAAGGAGAGGAACTCCTGGTTAAAATGTGCCAACTCCATTGTGTTAAAGAATTGGAATGCTGAACAGTCACATTCTGATGCTTTGAGAACTACAGAGGCCTCAAGGTAAACCATGGTTTATACAACAGTATTAACGTTAGATCTGATTGTATAACATGTATAGTCCTCTCTCAACCTGTTTTGTAATGGGTCATTTTAATATTACCTGCTCAGCAAGCCTGTGCTGAAAGCAGGCTCATCATAGCCCTTTCCTCACCAAAGTACCTCTAAACACAGGCATTTTCCACTGAGGAGTGTCTTGGAGCATCAAAGACACGGGGTGGGGGGGACATGTATAACTAAATCAATGCCAATGAAAACACACTTTTCCCCTCAGAGCTTCATCCTGTCCCCTCAGAGGCTAGAAAAGGTAATCTGTTCTGAGGGATCTTGGGGGCTTTGAATGCGTGGTGGTGGGTGGGTCAGACCTTGCTCTGATGAGCTGCAGCCCTGCCCCCTGTACCCCCCAGCCCCACAGTGTCTGTCAGCCATGGCACACTGAAGGCAGCTGCCTCAGAGTTGCCTGAATGGCTGAGAGACTGCAAGTTCCACCTGGGAGGAAGACCCAGGATGGGCCAAAGCCTGACCATGAGGGAAGCACGTTGTCCTTTAACCCTACCTTCATCTTAGAGTTTCACATCACTGGAACCTAGGACCTGGGAGCTGTTTTTCTGTATCTTTCCCTTTTTCCTGTTTTTCTCCCCTCCTTCTTCTAACTATTTTTACAGAACATGACATTGAATGGGTTTAAAGGTTTTCTATGTTCAGTGGTCTGTCTATGTTGTGATAAGTGATGTTATGTTGCATTTACTCGTTTGCAAATATTCCTTAATTTTCTATAGTTTGCCAGTAAACTTTAGTGGTTTTTATCTCTTGAGAATATTTGGTTGTGATTTTCTCCTTTGTGTCTACCCAGAGCAAAAGAACTTTGGATTAGCCCTAGGTCTGAGCGAGGGGGCTGTAACACCCCCTCTGGGCAGTAGGTACAGGAGATGGAGGAGGCAGGTTATCCTGCTGCAGCAGAGCCTGAAAAGGAACACGTGCCAGGATCAGCTGTGGGACTGCAGCAGGTGTGGGTGGAACATCCTTGAGTGGCCCCAGCTGCCACTGCTCCCTGCCCAGAGCTGGCAGTGCCAGCTCTCCCCTCATTGTGTCCCAAGGGCTGGAGACAGCACTAGACTGCCTCCCCTGGCCCCGGCACAGCCTGTGCAGGGCCTACTGCTGCCACCCTGCCCAGCAAGAGCTGTGGAGATCAAACAACATCTGAAAACACAGCTCTGCATGTACCTGGACATGGAGCCTCGGTATAATACAGCAGTCAGTGTAACTTCACACCTCTTACAACAAGAGCAGCATCTCGAGGGAATGCAGGTTTTTCCTTGCACAGGTCACAGTCACAGCTTTTCGCAGTAGGACAGAGCTTTCCAGAGCATGGTATCCCCAAGCCTGGCCCTGGCAAACTGGCCATCCCAGTGTCTCTACCAGGCTGCTGGAGACTGCAGTATTACCTGACTGCATGATGTGTCTCTCTCCTCAGGTAACTCCAGCAAAGCTTTTTAACTCATGAACACACTGGTTAGTCAGGCGCTATTTCATTTTCCTACAATTTTTGCCCTTTTTTTTTTTTTACTATCCTTTGTGATGACTAATGTAGTTAGGATACAGAGTTTCTCTCCCAAAAAGTGGGATTTTAAAACCTGGTTTATTTAAGTCTACTGCAGCAAAAGTCTTCTCAGAGTGCTGAAACTGGGTTTTTAACACCAACACCACCATGCATCACACTGAATTCTAAGGATAGGGCATACCTGGCAGAAACCCAGGAACATCCACAAACGTGATCAGGGGGATGTTGAAGGCATCACAGAACCGAACAAAGCGGGCTCCTTTCACAGAAGAATTTATGTCTAAGCACCCTGAGGTTAAGAACACAGAAAAAGATGTTAGCAACTCCAGGGATCTGCAGTAATTCAAGGTAACTCAAAATCACACTATTTTAGCTGTATTGTCTTCTTAAAGGAAAAGCTTATCTGTAGATAATGTGGAGATTACCTGCCATGAAGCTTTTCCTGGTTTAGAACCAAGATCACAGAACAAGCTACACTCAAAGGCTCATTTTATTTTTCTGATCCCTGTGTGCAAAGACTTTCTCTCCCAAAACATAACAGTTTAATTACATACATGTAATTAAAAATATTTTTTCTGTAACTTTCTCTTCATTAGTATTTTTCAGATCAGTCATACTGAAAGGTTACAGTTTTCTGATAAAATAAAACCCAATAACGTTTTGTGAAAGAGCAGCATTTCTGGTAGACACACTGCAAAGTGTTTCTGTTCTGTCTCAGCACCATTTAGAATTATATTATGCACAACTATATTAAAGCAAAACACATTTTGTATCAAAGCCTCTATATGAAACATTAAAAAGAGCTATTAAAATTTAAAATACTAAAAGAAGATTAAATTTATATTAAAACCTTCTCTAGTATCTTGATGGTCATACCTTGTAGAAGCGAATGAAACTAATAAAACGTCAAATTGGGTCATCTGATTTCCCCAAACAAATAGATACAAGAATTAAAAACAAGGAGTAAACCAGAAAGTTCCAACTGGGGAAGGTCACTTCAGAAATTATTCAGTTAAGGAGGGAAAGCAAAATCCCTGGATAGTTAAGAAAGGTGATCTTAGCTAGAGCTGCACCTTGTACCTTCAGATCCAAACCATGTGAGGCCAAGAGTTCCACACTTGTGCATCTGAAGGCTTTGCACTGTTCAGCTACAGTGAGATAACAAAGTCCCCTCACCGTACAGAGGAGTTTTAGGGATTTTGCTGCCATGGAAGGAAGTGTACAGTTTCCATGCTATGATTAACCCAGTTAATTGGTGCTCGCTCTTTCCCCCCAACCCCCGCCCCCT